CTCAGCATAAAAAGGCATAATTATCAGTGCGCATATATTAGCAAAACATAATCTATAATAACTTAATCTTGCTAAATCTAAGCTGAAAAGCACCTTTGTCTCTTCCTGTGTGGATTTCCTTTCGTCTCATCTGTCTCTCTCATGACTGAGGCAGCATAAAGGTGAACACATGAGGAAAAGCTAGCCTTTTTGCAACACATTTGTCACTTAGTTGTAGAAGTCATGCTGTGTATACATATGCACCACTCCCTCCCGTCTACTTCAAAATGACAACAAATAACAGTGAACACAACTATTGGTTTCGCAGACTAGCCATCCAACAGCATGAAGATTCTATGTCACATTATCCCTGTCGAACTGGTTTGCGATATTATCCCGTTAATCATCAAACTATGATTCCTAAAATGGCACTTGAACCTAATTGTATTTAAGAATCAAATCGTTTTTGCATCACAGATAGGATTCATCTTTTTAAGTGAACAGCGTTTGTAGTGAAAAACAAAGACTTGACCTATTTTAATGACCCTAAAGAATAGTCCACCTACATAAAGAAAAGTAATTCAAAACTAAATCAATATTGTGAGTCTGTTCTTACATGATTACTCCTACTATGCATTTTTTCGAGATTAAGGCTCTTTCTTCACTTATCCAGCATGATAGTGAGCTTTTTAAATAATATTCATGATTATCCTTGTCACCTACATTTTTATTGCTATCTGCAAAATAAATCCTACATCATCTTATCTCTATCCTAGGAAACGTCACATATTTAGTATCCGGTCTTACTGCTCAGTAAAAACCAGTGACGAAGTGAGATGTATGATGAGATTTCCTAAATATCTTAACAAAGACAAGCCTGTAACATGAATATAAAGTTCCAATCATGCATTGTTTTGGAGAGAGAGCTGTCTGCACAGAAAGATGCCTCTATATAATGTCCCGCATACCATGTTGCCCAGTGACGTGACAGTTATTTCTACAGGAAATGCTGAGGGTATATCATCAGATAACAGCAGACAACGTCTTACCCTGTCTGCAGGCTTGCTCTGAGTCGCATGCGAGTCGGAGGCATGGTGGGAGCTGTTGTTGTGAGAGTTCTCCTGAGGAGAGCCGCTGGTCCCTACAACAGAGACATTCATCAAGTCACAGAAAATACAGTGTTCTGCAGAGGACTGAGACTTAGTGCAGCTGAGTGAAACGCTTTGTAAGGTTGTGTTTGCAGTGTTCACATTGAGCAGTGATAGCTGTACTGTGATCTGATGGTTAACTAATCTTAAAGTGGACCTATCATGCTATTTTTAGGCAATAGCATAGGTCTCAGATATATAAAAAACATGTCTATGAAGTGTTTGGCTCAAAATACCAAACAGATCACCCATTATTTCACTTCCTGTTTCAAAAGTGCTGATTTTGGGTATAAAGCTTTAACAATTTTTTTAAAGTCTAAACTAAATACTGCGGTGATGAAACGCCATATCATGGATTATCAAGGATCTGAAACAGTCTGGAGCTCAAAGGCTTTCTCTCTTGCCGGTTATACCACAAGGTGAGTTCCTTTTTACTTCCTGCTTCTTCACACACATGCTCTCCAGTACAGGTTAGCTCTGAGTGTTAGCAATGCTAATGTAAACCCCGACCATATTACGTCCAAAACAGTCGGGCATTGTTTCTGATAGGGGGGGGCATCTCTAAGCAGTTTACCAATCAGAGCAGACTGGGCTCTAGTTTCAGACAGAGGGTGAAAAGAGGTGCAGCAGCACATTTGACACAATTGAGCATAATATGTAGTCTTTAAACAAAACATTGGCCGAAAATGTCACATTCAGTGCATCCGAGCATATACAAGTCCACAATGTAAGTATAAAAAAAAAGTTTAAATGAACAATGCAAAAGCTAATACTCATCAAAAAAAAACCTACATAAAATGAACTACAATAAGATAAGTGCTACAACAATCTAATATATTCTATTTGCCGTGCAATAGCTGAAGCAAATTGTTCCCCTTTCCTTTTTGTCTAGAAACCTTTATACATCATACATATATCCACGTGTAAGACTAAAATATCCATGCTTACCATTTTTTCCTCTAACCGTGTGAGAGGTTTTTGCCTTGCCATGCCCCACGCCGTCTCCATGTCTGCTGACAGGACTTTCGTCAGAGCGTCGCAGCATCTTATAAGGGGGCGTTGGGTCTGATGAGCCATCGCGCACCTTGTCATAGCGGTGAAGGCTGCTGGACTGGCTCTTTGGCTGAGATTTATGGGTCTGGATTGAATTAAGCATGAGAGAAAGACTTGTTGGGATGTGGATGTGTCATTAGATTGTTAAATACATTTCCAATGTGTGAAATCCACGTCTCTAATAAATATTACAATTTGAGTCTACAGGAGATGTTCTCTGCCTTTGAGTATTTATTGAACGCTACAGGAAGCCAGTATTAGGAAGGTATGTTCAAGGAATACTACGGTGTCAACATGTGTCCTAACTGGACAAGCCTGATGCCATATCAACACAATTTAGAGAGAGAGAGAAAAACTCTCCTAAGCTTTACAAAAACATTACACAAACTACCACAGCAGGACTTCCTATGGAGCGTTGTGTAAGAGCCATGTAAATACAATCTTAAGTGGTTTATTTTGTTCAAAAGTATTATTAAGTTACATTATAATTGGGAGTTTAACTGGAGTGGTAATTGAGACCCGACTACATGGATATTCATTTACTTTAATGGAAATACTGCACTTTGATTAGTCATGTTAGAGGAAAATGATGACAGTTGACTGTTAACAGATGTCATATGTCATACCTGATAGGATTGTGAATCCCTTCTGTCGTTGCACCTGGGAAAACACACAGAACAAAAATGTTTAAAATGTTAGCATTTTAACGGTGTGGTTCGTTTTCTCAATTAGCAACACACTTTCTAGAACATATTAAACGTTAGCTACCAGCTATTGATAGCCGTTAGCAAAATTAGCTTGATTCGCTACCTTGGAAACAACAGGTTTTTTTTGTCAATAGCGGAATTTAACCGATAATTTTTTTTAATGTATTATACATAATGTAGACTATATACGAGAAGTGTATCTTTATCATGTTAGTTAGCTAACATTACGTTTACGATAAGCTTTAGGAAATAACCGGAACCCAAAGCTAATTCAATAAACTGTTAGCTTTTAGCACTGAAAGCTAAAGGCTACAGCCAAAGATAAATAACCGGCTAACAAATGAAATATATGGTAAACCAAAGGACTAACTTTAACTATGTTACAGTGTGTGCTTAAATTACCCATCGCTGACTCTTGCTGGTTTCCTTGCATACATCACCATCAAGGCCGTGGTGATGTGTGTGTGTGTGAGAGGGGGAACCGTGGCCTCCTGTATGTCTGCTCTCACAGTTCTCTTTTCTTCAGCTTCCTGATATCTGGATTCTCTATAACCTACTAAACAGATACCTACAAGCTGTGCATCGGGCACAAGCACTGCATAGCGGGTGGTCTTTATCACAAACCACCCTCAGTGCATCGTCTGGCATATAGTTACGATATACGCTTAGTTCGGCCGATGTAGTTCAGCGAAAAGCAGCAGAGTCAGGAGGAAACGGAGAAGACGGACTCCTCGGTAATGTTTAGCTAGAGAAAAAGAAGTTCCGCTTCTATATTTCAAAATAAAAGAACTGGCAAATATGCTATTTAAGGAAGGAAAAAAGAGAGAGATGAAGAATACATTGTTAACTTCTTCAAGTGTCATTAAATTCGGCATTTAAAAGCAAAACAACCCAACATATCAATGGTATCAATACATTGTAAACAATGACGGCTGAAACAGTGCAGAACACAAGTTATTTATATTCCTAGTATACTTATGACAGAACATGTTCTCAATGGGACGTACAGTGTGTACACAAACATATAATAATAAGTAAAACTGTACATCCCATTGAGAAATAATGTCATGTTTTTTTATCAAACAGGGAAATGCAGAATTGGCTACCAGAACAAATATGTATTTTTAATGTTTTTGTTGATACATTGAAAACGAAACCCTGTTATCATTCTTGTCAAAGAAAATCGACCTCGCTAACCAAACATTTAACATGTTCTTTCTTAAGGATTTCTTGCTTTGACCATTTAAAGTTTACGCTCTTGTTTTGAAGTAAGTAACTCCATTTCCGGTATTAGCCTAGCTGTCTCTGGCTAACGTGACGCAGCTATAAACGGAGCTAGTTGTTGCTGTGGACTCCTCCTACGAGTTCACGTCTCGTTTGCTGGACATTTTCTGGGACACACCCACGGTCTGTGCTAGTCTGCTCTGTTGTCTCCATCCTCTTGGATATACATGAACACTTGACTACCATACACTGTATGTCTAATACTGTGTTCTCCTCCTTGTACTCAGTTGGTGTGGTGTGGATAATGAGGCAGTAGGCTACATCATATACTGAATGAATCTCTGGTCAGTGCACAGATGAGCTACACCTTTATTTCTGCATGTATCCCATACACAACACATGTATTTTTTATAAACTCTCTGTTAGCTTCCCCACAGAGAGGTCGAAGGTCTTGAAATACACACTGAACATGGTAAGTAGTGCTTTGAATAAAGTGTCCTAAAGACCCCAATGAAAATAATTATAATGAAAGCCCCCCAAAATAGGGTGAATATTTGGATATTTTGACATGCATGACCCAAAATCTCCCTTCCTGTGATTGCTAAGGTTGATGCACACACAATTATTATTCCTTTAAAAACCCAAATATTTATATAATTCATTACCAAAGAGAACCATTTGAAATAAAATAGCAAAAACGAACTAAAAGGATGCAAATGCTGACCTAAAAAATAAATGTAATCTTAAATCTGGAAAGTGAACTAGTGCATAAAAGTGCATACTTTACGCCCCATTCTCTTTGATTGCTGTATTGATTATCTGTCGGCTTGATTTAGGTCAGACCTGACACCTATTGACACAATAAAGGACAGTCTCCTTTTAAAATCCAGCCAGTTGATCGCATTACAACCCGTCTCTACAAGTAGATGTTCAAATGCAGCTGCTACTCTTTGGGTATTAAGGGATAAGGCCTGTCTGAACTGGGCCTGATGGAATGGAGCGTCTCTGGTGAGTGCATCTTACATTTTGTGTGGGAGCTGCTTTACTTAATTTAAAATGTGTTGGATTGGTCGTAAACATTACACTCCTAATCTGTAAACTCAATTATTTGTCAAAAACAATTCATTATTTACTCACAATATTTTTTTTTTATTATTAAATTACTGCTATTGAGACAAGATAATAAAACTAAAATAAATATCAGCTTGCATTTAATATTCTGTTTCTCTAGCTGTGCTTATTGAAGGATACATGACAATATTTATTTACAGTTTAAGTATAACAAGGGAAATTAGATGGAACAAATCTTCAATTCAACCAACCATTACATTATTTTAAGCGTTATATATATACATATATGGTTTGAGTTATGTTTTCATATTTCGTTTGATGCAATTTTAGGTTAGTCTCAATATAATGCAAATATACAGGGTATTACAAATATAATTGATGAACAATTTAATGTTTACTCATGTATTGACATTGGTGTATGGACAGTGAAAAAGTGCAATAGAACAGATGTTGAAATATGTAATTCCAGCATTAGGGGGCAGTAATATCTCAGAAGAAGCATATTGTGGAAAAAATAAACATTTATTTTTTATTTTTCTGCCACACTTTCTTTTACCAATAATAAAAACAAAAGAAATCTGGAGAATATTATAATATTACTTTTTCTTTCTTTTTTTTCCAGAGTGATGAGAATGCTGAACCGAACAGAAAACAGAGGTGGGTCCAAAGTGTAGCAGGTTATCAGGTTATTTGAGGCGATATGTCATTTGTCACCTCCCTTATCCTATCCTTAGAATACTTGCAAAGCTGTACAATAAAGTAATATTTTATAGTTGTTCTTATAACTTGTAAGATATCACCTCCGTCTTTGGGTTTTTTGACCTCACCTCATAGCATTAAAATAGGATCAGTAAATTAATACCAGGTGCAAGAGCTGTGCTCATTGGTGTACGTGTTCTGCTACTCCTGCAGGCGTGTGCAGGCTGCTATCTTCAGTGATGTCTGGAACAGAGTCTCATACGGACAGAGAGGAGGACTACAGGTTCCTCCACAGCATGCTGATGGAGAAGAAGCTCCACCTGCTCTTTAAGGTGGAAACACATTTGTGCTTTAAATTGGCCTTATTATGCTTTCCGGATTTTCCCTTTCCTGTAGTGTACTATACAGGTTTTTGTGCATTCTAAATGGTCTGCAAAGGATAAAATCCCAAAGGTCAAGCAGTATGAGATAATAAAGACCTCTATTTACATCAAAGCTTGTAGAAATGTCACAGTAGAGGCACAAAATACAAATATGATGCTGAAAATGAGCCTAATAGGGCCCCTTTAATGATTCGTGCTTGAGTTTTTTCCACTTCTTACTTAGTAGGTCAAATAACAAAAGTATTATCCATATGCAGTGGTTGACAGTAACATTTACATCTACTAAAGTACTGTACTTGAGTACAATGTGATGTTACTTACTTATTGTACTTTACCTAAAGTAAGTATATATATTACCACAATTGAAGCATTTTTACTGCACTGCCTTTATTTATAAACTTTAATTACTTTCGAGTTCCAGATCCAGATGAATAATACAAAATGTAATCTTATCTGTAATGTCTTACTACAAGTTAAGATACACTTTATTGAACCTAAGCTAACTTGCAGAAATAAATTAAATTAAAAAAACTCCTCATTTACAAGCTTTCAATAAATTATATTTTATTTCTATAAATAAATCATTTAAGATGTAAAAGTAGATATAATAGTAGTTGTAGCAGTATTAAGAAATACATAAAGTGCCTTTTTTACTGTAGAGAAAACCTTCATTGTGATACCTTCCTGACTTGGCAGATCCACGAGCGTCTGAAACGTTTTGAGAAGCGGAGCCCCATCCCCGTCCAAGAGCACGCAGCGAGTCTGGCTTCAGAAGTAAGTGACTCTCTCCAAAAATGTTTGCAGAGGATGACAGTTTGACAGCAGAGGGAACAGGGAAGACATTGTTCAAATCGTTTCCTCCACATCGAGACATATTATCTGTCGCACAGAAGCACGAGTGGATCGACAATCCTTCTGCACCAAATTATGAAATGTTATCTCAAAACTCTCTCTGTCACCTCTGATTTCGTCACTTGAAGTGTTGTGTTATGTCTTCAAGCCAGGAGTAAGGTCAGTGAGGACGGTGCAGAACAAAAGGCTGCTAAAACCATTTTGTCTGCAGTCTAATGTTGCAGGTTGGATGAATACAGTTGACTTCAGATTTAAAATGAAGTGACAGAGAGTGCTCCCACTGCGGCACCACCAGTCTCGATTCCCATGAAATAGATGTGAATCATCTTTCAAATACCAGTCCTTTTTGTTCCTGTTACCAACCAATCACTGCTATATTTCCATCTCACCCAACTACCTTCCTTGAACCACTTTGGTCATTTTACATCTTCATTTCCTCATTCCCCCTCTTGTTCCTGGTCAAAGTGTTAAACAAGGACATTCTAGATTAAGGTGACCAGATTTTCAAAATTAAAACTGGGGACATTTTGAGTTTTGCGGTCAATATATCATTAACATATCCAATTTTCTTCACTGTTAAAGAAAAAAGGGGGACAATTCTGGTTCAATGTAATTCGAACATTTGAACTGTTGGATACAAACAGAAGGACGATAGCTCATATATGAGACTTCAGGTCTTTTATTTTGAAACTGTACATCAGATTGTCCAGATTCTCTCTGAGTGATTAGATGGGGTGTCCTGCTATCACCCTGAAGTGAAATAAGTATTTGATTGACTTCGAGTGACACTTTGAATATGGACGCTTTCTATTAAATAATAATAAAAACATAGATGGACAATAGATCTAATTTGAGATTTTAAACAGCATACATTTTAAATTTTGCTTCAGAAAGTAATGTTATTTTAGGAGTGTTGTGAGATGGTGTCAACATCAATTGAAATTAGTCACCCAGTGGAAATGTCAGATATATCTTCATAACTGTATACTTACATTTGACATTCACTCAGTTATAATGTGGTAGTTATACGTAGTTTGTTTTACATTATTATTGATCACATTATATAGTACATATTTCTTAATTTAAGCTCCAGTATATATGAATATGTTTGGTGTGTTTTTTAGGTATATTTGTTATTGACCGAGTAAACGCTTTTATTTTGAAGGCAGTTTTTACAGGCCTCTACCGTAATGCATAGCAATACAACGTGCGGGCTAGCTTGACTGTGTTTTTCGAAGTGGGGGCTGGCTTGACCGCAGTCTGTTTACCCAGTGTTTCCTGACATGAAACGTTTTATTTCACTTTGCTATGTGTTTTTAACGTATATTAAAAAACGGGGACATTTCCGGGGACAGTTTCAACCGGGGACAGGCCAATACAAACGGGGACTGTCCCCGGAAAACGGGGACGTCTGGTCACCCTAGATAACACTTTGTTCTTGCTCTCCACCTTTTCTTATATTCATCCCCAAATCAAACAATTATCTCTACTATAGAGGAGTGCAGGAATGAGTCCTAAACCCGTAAATTAGTTCGCATTTTAGCACTTCTGGTTCACGCCGTTCGAAGCCGACAGTTTTTTGAACATGCTTTCGGTTAGATACCTGAAAAAAGGTCTGTGGTTAACACAAGCTTAAGAGATTGTCACGTATTGTTCTACAACATAAAATAGGTGTGTAAATATGCATCATATTAACGGCGGTGGTAATGAGTGACTTAACGAGACAGATACATGTCATCATGCAACACAAGTCTGCTTTTAGCTTAGCGGTGGTGACTCACAGCCATGCGAATGTGATGTAGTTGTTAACTTTAAAGCTGCATTCACATCACAAGTGGTAAACAGCGCTCCACTGACATTGCTGTTGTGTTCCTATGAAGAGAGCGGTGCTGCCATATTAGGGGAAAGTGCAACTCAGTGTAGCGCACTGCTCAAAGCTATCCTCTAGCGCTGTGCTTAAAGTTTAAATTATGAAAACTTTGACTTACCTTTTGACGCGCAACCAATCAGATAAAAGCTTGAGAAAGACGCGCAAGCTAGCAGGCTAAGTCACCACATGAACAAAACGTTACTTGCCGTTTTCACCTAAAGGCCCTGAGCCTAACTTCATGCTGAGCAAAATGTTAACGTTAGCTATTTACTTATCGTAATCGCATTAACGCCTAAAACATCATGGAATGGGTGTAAATATTATCCAGCTGAAGAAAATGTATGAATTTGTTTCTCCAAAATCCAATCGAAATGTCCCATTATGTTTTGTCAAGGGCCCCTTAGCGATGCTAAGCTAACTTGCTGACTGTTATTCTCGCCATATTATTGTCTCTTTACCCCCATATCCTAGCCCTGATACTCCTCTCTTCACTCCCTTAGCTTCAGATTCTGTTAGACAGCCACTCTCCGCCTGGCTTAAATGAAAACTGGACGGGCCAAACCACGGCTCTGTTTCCCCTCAGAAAGGCTTCTGTTCGCTCACAGTGGAAACTAATGACCTTCATGCATTGTGTCTCTGGAGTGTGCCTGGACATCTTGAAGTATTAGAAGTCATAACAGTAATACACTCGACAGGACGGGCGAGTCCCTCACCGCCTTTCCAGTCAAAACTGACGGTCAAGGCTGTTCTGTTTTAGCCATTGCCGCAGATGCCGTGTAGCCTTGAACATTTGGGAGCGTTTTTTCCAACAGTGCCTAAAAGACATGAAACCAGAACAAGAACACAGACAAATAATTGACATCAAGAAGAAAAGCAAAAAAGTCCCAGTGACGTGAACGGACCACATGAAAGTGTGTCACTACAGTCTGAATCAGATACAAGTTTCAAAAAAACCTTTTTGTCTCTCTTGGCTAGTACTGTGTAGACTGGAGCAAACCTCACTCATGATATGATTTTATACCTCTAATTTCGAAATGATATACTGTCTTACTTCCAGTTGGCGGAAGAGCTGATAAACCAAGGCTGGACAGATGAAATCAAAGAACTGGTTGGCCTCTTTTCCCAACCCGACTTTAAGGTGAAGAGTATCTCCTTCTATGATGATGATGAGTTCCTGTAGCTTCTAATGTGTGTCAACCTTAAACTCCCCCAGTCAAGTCTTTTTACCAGTATCGCATCATTTCTACCCAAAAAAAACATTAAAAATAACATAACATTTTGGAAAATATGCTTCTTTGCTTTCTTGCCAAGAGGTATCAGAGATGTTTGTTTTACCCTTTAACCTACGGCTTTATACTCCAAAAGACAGACATATTTAGACATATTTAGCAATCTTCTCAAATGTTGTGACAATTCCAATGGTGACCTCTTCTCAACAGCACTTTGTCTCTTACAGGCTAATAACAGCAATAAAGGGATCATAGCACTGATTCATCAAACCTCGAGAGTCTTGGGAGTATCTTGATAACCAGAAGCGTCTTCTTTAAATGACCATTCATTTTTTCTCTCTTGAACAACACATTCATTGAACACATTCCAAAATGTCATGTAGTGCTGGGATGGCGGATGAATAAGTGGTTCATTGGGTTTATTCCCTTTTTCTATTTTCTTTCTCTTCCTTTCTCTCTCTTTTTGAATTTACAACATTTTGGGAAATAGTGTTATAATTGAAGTAACGTTCCATATTTTGTTTGAGTATCTAGATTGTTTTGCAGAAACCCTGCCAATAATAATATTTCAAACATAAATATCACTACAGAAAGGGAATGGTTAGCTTACAGACTTGAAGACAGGTTAAGTGCCTGAAAAACCTGTTGCTAGCTAGAGATTTGTATTGCTCTTCTCATCTAACTCTTGACTAGAAAGTATAAAATAGTATTTTCCACGTAAACATGACCCTTAACTGTGCAGTATTCTGTTGCTGAAGCATATCCTTTAGCTTCCATTCACACGGAACATTTATGAAGCAGGAACAAAATCCACCAATATAAGTAGTTTTTTCTACTTCAGAGCCCCAACACTTCATTATAAGGAACCTACTCTGGTGTTGTTACATGTCCAGTCATTTTTTCTTAATCTAGCTCACACACAAACTGCAATCTAAGAAGCTAATTTCAAAGTAGGAATGCTTCATTTGAGCTACTCTGATGCTGTTCAGGCGACACCACATATTATGACAAATTAATCCAACTGTAAATTCTATTTGTATGTATTTCCCCTAATTATTTTACCAACTGAGAGGTGTTGACAACTATTAACCACACTGTAAATGAAGCTAAATAACTCCCTAGTTGTGTTTATTAGTTTTCACTCATAGAGGCCCAGACAACTCCAATGCATGTTTCCTTATGTCAGATCTGCTGACAGTCATATTTCAGACACTCACACACACACCCACCCACACACACACACCCACACACACACCACACACACACACACACACACACACACACACACACACACACCCACACACACACACACACACACACACACACACACACACACACACACACACACACACACACACACACACACACACCATGTATACATCACTTCAGGGGACATTACATTGACATACATACATTTCCTGGAGACTTATCCTAACCTTAACCATAACCAACACATGCCTAACCCTAACCCTTAACCTTACCCTTACCCTAACCCTAATCCTAAACCTAACCAAGTCTTCACCCTAAAATTAATGATTGCCCCCATGGGGACCTCCAATTTGTCCCCATAAGGGAGGCGAGTCCCCACACGTGACTATGTAAACAGATTTAGGTCCCCACAAGTATAGTAATGCTAGGCCACACACACACACACACACACACACACACACACACACACACACACACACACACACACACACACACACACACACACACACACACTATAGAAATCATTGCTTTTCTTAATGAGGAGCCAAGGCCAGCCGAGAACTAACAGGTTTGTTTAAACAGTCCTAATGACCAGTTTGTTCTTGGCCCCAAAGCTGAAGCTCACACATACTTACAGTATGAGAAACTCAGGGTATAATTTTCTGTGAATGGATGTTTGTTTTTTGAAAACCTGTCTCTGAAAGTGGCCAGAAACACATTGCTCACGCGCTGGCAGCTTCTGAGCCGGACAATTGTTGATGGACAACATGGATATGTAGACTAACTGACATATGTATTGGCTGGTTGTTAAAATCAATTTGATGAGCACATATTTCCCCCTTCTTCTTATTCTTTATCATCACAATGAATACCCTGTTTTTGAAATTCTACCTTTAGGCTCACGGGAGAGATAACCATTTATCCAGAGTAGTGTTTTTCGGCAAACAAACTTTGAGTTTATGCAAGGCCAAAGTTAAAAAAGAATGAACTCAAATTGTCAAAACTGGGCATTGATAGACTGTTAAATATCAATTCATTGTCCCTTCAAAGGATTTATTTTCCTAAGACGTGTGTTGTTTGAGCGTAGCCAGTATGACTGTTAGCAGTGTGGGGGGTTGTTTTTAGGTGGCCCAAATGCTGGCAGTACATTCCAGACGAAATCAATTGTGGCATGTTGGCACAGACAAAATTGAAGGCTTGCAACCAAGAGTTTGCTGTATTTGGATTACGTTGCTGTAGTGGGTGCAGGCAGGCCAGCCAAACCTATTGGAATTTTTGCACAGCCGCAGTCACCTTTTATTAGTCAATGTGGATTGTTGACATTTTTGTGTAGTGCTTATCCATTTTTAACCTTACAATTATATTATACCATCTGAAGCCTAACAAGTTAGCCCAAAATTGTTGTTCATAGCAGAAAATGTATACAGTATAAGAAGTGGAAGTATAGTTACCGTGACGCCATTCATTGGTTTATGGCAGGGGAGTCCAAACTACGGCCCGAGTGCCCGTGGCGCATTTTTTATTGGCCTGCAGTAAATTCTAAAAGTATAATGGAATATGTCGCACTTGTACTTGTAATTGTCTTATAATGAACTTATATAACATATATTTAAACATTTATTACACAGTAGTATTCATGTGTTAATAAGCCCAATTTTCCAAAAATATTAGTCAATTAAAGTTCAGAAAAATGTTAAACAAATCTTAGTTGATAAAAAAGCCCAATAACCTATTTCCATAACAACCTTGAAATATACCCTTCCTTTCCCCCCTTATTATAAGCAATCTGAGGCTCCTATTCTAAGGAATGAGCTGCCAACCCTTTTTGTCACAAAATAATGGAAACCCTATGGGGAGCTGTGATGTATGCTCTATATATTCAAATAGCAAGCATCATTTCATTTATTTGATTGATTTTGCTAACTTCTAACTTAACTTATGAGGCAATATACCTCACCTCTAGTGAAATGTTTTTCTGTATGAGGCCCTTAGTGAAAAAAGTTTGGACACCCCTGGTTTACTGATTACGGTATGCTTGAGCTTGGCACTTTGGCCATTGCCATTTTGGTTGATGGCCATCACTATCCTATTTCTATGGAACCAAAAGTCATTCGAGAAGGTGAAGCTAAGCACAACTGAACGCCAAGAACAAGACGTTTTTTGGAGGCCAAAATGTTACAATTATCTTTCCTGAACTGTAAACACACTGAAAGGGTAAAAGTTCTTAGATAAAACCATGTGGAGCACTAAAGACGAACAACATCATAGTAGTCACTTGTCAATCTCAAATTGGCTTACCCCAAAGCAAGCGCTGCTATCATCTATTTATTCTGAATGAGACCATTTACAAAATGAACATCATTGTAACGGAGGTGATCTCTGGGGCCATAGATCTTGGCCTCCGTTACGGATTGTGTGCTTTCTTGGTGGCAAAGTGTATGTAGTGTGTGCATCTGTATGTGTTTTAGTCTGTCTGTCTCTGTTTGCTGGTTTTATGTTAAAAGTGTTCCCCTTCCCCCATGTCTGTTGCTGTTGATTGTGTGCACCTGGTGCCCTGTGTTGTCTCCTCCCCCCCACCTGTGTCTAATCGAGTTTAATAAATGCCCACACCGGGTTATATTTTTGGACGTTCTGCCTCTGCCTCCTTGCTTGGTCGGGACGCTCAATTGTCAGCTTCACAATCATGCTGTATTAAAGAAGACAATAGAGAGAATTGTTAAGCAATAGAATACATCAAGTTAGAAACAGGGTTATTTTCTCATAGACTTCTAGACAATAAGATTTTCTTTTGAAACAAGTGAAGTCACCCCCTGCTGGCTAGCGAGAATGCACGTTTTCAGAAGGTTGGTTAAACCTGAACTGGTTAAAGTTGTGTGGTTTTCCGTGCTTTTGCCTTAGCCAGTGCCATTTATCCATACAAAGTGAGATGCATTACAGGATATTAGACCCAGTGTCCCCATCTACTCACATTACCTTAAATCCGATGTGATCTACCTGAATGCTGATCCTTCACTGTTTTAACGTTCTGTCCTCAGAGTCTCCTGTGTGTCCATGACGCTGTAGCTCAGAGAACCTTTGAGCCCACTCTGCCACCAATACCTGACACTGTACTGGAAGACGATGAGGATTCTGTCAAAATTGTCAGTCTGGTCAAAACCAAAGACCCCCTGGTCAGTAAACATGTCTTCATATTTCAGAGGTCAAGTTCGTATTTGGCTCGAACAAATAGTATCATTTTATGGGCTTTCTTTATGAGGTAATGAGAAGTTTGACACAGTTTGCCTCTTATGCATGCAATAGTATATACTGTATATATGCTATATTTCAGGCAACATGGTAAGGTTACAAACTTTCATGAACTTAAAACACACTGTGAAAGGGTTAAAGTAAAAGATGAAAGAGGTGACAGCACTCATACCTCTGGGTGGTAGCGACTTCAATCCTTTATTTTCTTTTTTCACTCTAAATGGAACGATGATTTACAAAATATCACGTTGTATTGAAGAAGACTTGAATACACCTAATTAATTTACCGAGGTAAATAATCAAATGAGAAGTAGATATATTTTCTCATAGACTTCTATACAACTGGACCACTTTTTGCAACCTATGGTGGCACCTTGCTGGCAATTAGAGTACATGCAAGATTACATGTTGGAGCTGTTTTAAGGCTAGGGCTGTTTTCCCCCCTGTTTCCCAACCTCTATGTACAACTAAGACAATCCTTCTGCAGGCTTTAGCTGCATATTTATAAGAATATATAATATATAATCTGCAAGAAAGCAGATAGCAATACTTTTATGTGGCTTTTCTTTTTCTTTTTCAGTAGAGCTTAAGAGCCTGTCAGCCTTTTTTGGTCTACCTAGCCTTGGCTTGTAATGTTCACAAATTGAACACAAATGTAAGCATTTAAGTTAAGACAACCATGTGACAGGGCAACTGCGCTTGGACATATCTCATTTGTCCAGCTGCAATATCTGACACACACAGGCAGGGCAAATAAATAAACATGTCCAGGGGACAGCTGAAGTTTTTTCTCTGTTGACTGAATTGATGTGGTGTTGTCAAACTGCGTGACTGCTAAAGCCCTGCAGCCTATGCCAAGGTGTAGCAGGAATACAGCCCTTGGAACAACAGGAAACACATGAGTAGATTCCTGCAGCTGCCATGAATTTGCAGTCAATTCTTCCACATCTTTTTTGCCATATTTCTGCTGTAACGCACAACGTAGTTTCTGTATTGTTTGGGTGCATAGTGAAGCATGTATATATGTTTATCCACTGATAAATTATGTCATTTAAATGAGTCCTTTAAGGCTGTTTTAAAATTGATTGGGATCATTTGTTTTATGTTTCTGTTGTAAAACAAGTAGTTTTTATGATCTTTAATCATAGCAAATTTGTCTTGATAATACCGGAATGATCTGTCGGTACCACTTTTTTCCAAGCCATTGTCAATTATTTCTGGACATTTCCTGGATTAAATAAATTGAGTACAATGTGTGCATACTTTCGCCAAGTCCGCAAAATCCTCTAACTTTATTATTTTATTGATAAAATACATTTCAGCTTTTTTTTGGATCGAGATCTCCATAAACTCACATAGGGACGGACAACTTGGGCTTACATGTGCCTTATTTTCTCCCTCACTAAAGTGGATCCTGTTGCTCATTACAATTACACAGAAATGTTTCAAGATTCAAAGGTAAAATTCCTTTAACAAAATAATCCTGAATCCACATCGAAAACATGTGTGTCTTAGCCTGTGGCCTGAGAAGTTTCCTTAGAATAAGTCTTTGATACGTTTTTGAAGGCAAACAGAACCAAAAACATATCGAGATAAAAAGGCTTATCTTAAGTGTAAATATATGACAATAATTGACTTAATGATGAACATTTCTTGCAGTGTGTATGTTTGAGCTTTGACAGTGGAATGTTCTTTCCGGACCAATAATAGAGAACATACTTTTGTATTGATCCCAAAACTAGATTGGAAAGAGGATTGACCTTTTTATGACACGGCCTCTTTGATCGATCCAGCATGTTCCAGTTTTCCAGACAACAGGGTTACACCCGAGCATGAGCTGATTGTACTCAGCTATAAGATGCTCTTTCCATTGTGATTCACTCCACATAAATAACATCTGTTGAAAAACCGTTTTCCAGTGCTCTGTGTGTAACATGAAGGCAGTCAGCTTAATAGTCCCATCTTGAAACAAATAACCTTCATTCGAATGAAGCGACTCCAAATGAGAAGCTTGTCTGGACTGTAATAAAACCAACATGTTATTTTCACCGTCCATTGATTGACCTCTTTGCCTGTGCTCTTCTGTTTGTCCATCAATCATCCTTTCATTCGCTAATCCCCATCCTCAAGGGTGCAACAATTAAAATGGATAAATCCACAGGGACGATTGTTGTGGCGAGGATCATGAGAGGAGGTGCAGCTGATAAAAGCGGTAAGCTAAATAACTATTTTTTACTACAGTTTCACCAATATACTCTCACAAGTGGTTGTGGTCAAATAACATGTACGAGAGGAGCATGTGGTAATTTCCATTTGTATTTCCAACACTTGGAAGGCCTGATCCATGAAGGAGATGAGCTGAAAGAGGTGAATGGAGTCTCACTGGAACACAGGAAGCCAAAGGAAATCCTTTCTCTTCTGGTTAGTCTCACCTTTGTGCCTTGGTTTTATACATTTCTTTGTTAAGTGTTTCTGTTTCCTTCTCTCTTTTTGCTCTCAACCTTATCTTATGATAGAACCTTAAAGGTGGGGTATGTAATTTTGGACAAACCAGCTCGAGTGAGCTAATATTTGAAACTACGCAGCTGAAAAAAATCTGCCCTTTCCTTCAGACTTCCTTACAGAGCCCCTCCTCCAACACACACGAACGCGCACATGACCAATGAGGGCACGAGATAAGTTTGTATTTATTGTCAAAGCATTTAATATATTCATTGCTATCGGGATGTTAAGAGCATTCCATGGAATATAACAAAAAGGGTTTCTGAAATAAATTACATACCCCACCTTTAAATCAGTGTCCAAATATATAATGTTTCCTAAAGGATGTCAGTAATTTCCTAAAACAGCACCAAACGTTAGCAAATGTTACTCAAACAGGAGTAAAGAGTACATTTTGTTCAGGACTACTTCCTGCTGCGGATGAATCCACGTTTGGCGAACTTACTTATAGTATGTACAATACACTGTATTGTATTATAGAGCACTTTACAGGTTTAAAGTGAATACAGCTTTATTTATAGAGCACTTTAAACCTCCAGACCAAAGTGCTAGATGTAGGCCTAGATTGTTGTATGGCCATGTTCTTTATTGTGTGTTCCATAGTTCTGCATTTGGCTCAACCTACTTCCAGTCTTTACATTGTGCTAGGCTAAGCTAATTAGCTTCTGGGTTTTAAGCTTTTTAGCGATTTGTATTCGTCTTCTAATCTAACTTGGCCCAAAGCAAATAAGAATCTCTTAAAATGTATAACCATCTCTTCTTCTTGTGCAGGCTCGATCTCAAGGTGAAGTTAGATTCACAATCATTCCTGCCTCCACAAGGGAAGAAATGTCATCAAATAAAAAGGTACAATACATATTCAAACACATATCACCATGCAGTGTGTTTTTTACATTAGTTTAACATGCAATCTGGCTGCATGAGGAAAGCAGCCCCAGCTGGTTTCAGTAAAAAGAGATTAAATCAGTGGTATCTTGTGTGTTTGGGTATATTTAGTGTTTTTGCCATGGTGCTGTCACGACAGCAGCGCACTGTCAAGAACTCAATTCAGATCAGACAGTCAAGTATAAGACCATTACTAATTTTATTACAATTTCCTGCTTTTTATAATCTAAGCACTTGATTTATGATTTTCCACACATCACATATGGAGAGCCACATCAACTTCATTTATCATTAAGGATAAATCTACACACCGTATGCGGAAAAAATTGCATATCCTTTTATGTGTTGGAATAGTTCTAGGCCACTACTACCAAATACATGATATCCAACCTGGAACCTGTTAGAGCAGGGAGCATTTGCTCTGGATTAAGATAAATTATTTTCTATGATCATGGTAATATTTCAAAAATGACACCAACTTATGTTACAAAGCACCAGACATAGTTGTTGTGCCGATTGCTAGGATACAGAAGTTCATAGGGTTGCAGTAGGAAAAGATAAGAATGAATATATCGATTACGCGGCAACCTGTTTTGTTTAAAAGAAAATAATATTTTTTCAGCTGTTTATGCAGGCTCTTTTCGACTATGATCCCAATGAGGATCCCACCGTTCCGTGCAAAGAAGCAGCAGTAGCCTTTAGAAAGGGCGACGTCCTCCAGATTGTCAGCATGGAGGATGACACCTGGTGGCAGGCCCGTCACCTTGGGGACAGCAACGATCGGGCAGGACTCATCCCCTCGCAGCAGCTCCATGAGAGGTCATAATTTGATCTTTTGTATACTATGGCTGACAGGTGCAAACTACAACGGCCAAACACACACGATAAACGAAACACTGCAGATAATAAAACGCTGCAAGAATCTCAAAACACAACAGAAACCAGGTGACACTATAAATGGATGCAGACAGCTGGGACCTGAGCGATTACGTTCAGGGAGTATAAAGTTGGCCAACTGTCTCTGTTGGAACAGTTGGCTGCTTCAAGTGTTTTGTCAGTATACTTGAAATGACTAGGTTAGCTAAGTTAGCTAGCTAGCTTACAGCAGATTTGAACTCACATTGTTAAAATAAGCCAATCAAACTTACATTTTAGGTAAATTTCCAGTGACAGTGATTGCTGGCCAACTTTATAATCCCAAAACGTCAACACGTGTGCTCCGTTACCAGGTGTGTGCATCACTTTTTAGTGTCCCCTTGTTCCTGCTGTCTTTTGAGCTTCTTGCAGCGTTTATTATTTGCAGCGTTTCGCTAATGCAGCACTTTTAGTAAATGCTGTGCATGTGTTGTCAAATTGGTTAAGATGTTTCTTCATTTGTTTTGGCACATTCCTGTTATTGATTTGCATTGTTTTTGAAACTGCAGCGCTTCTCTTCGAATGGAAATGTGTTTGGCCGTTGTAACGTGTTTGCACCTGACCTGTGGTCCGCAGTATTTTTAGTCTATAGAAACACATTTACCCTCTTAAACCACTGTCATCTAACATCTATCTTAAAGGTGGGGTAGGTAAGTTTGAGAAACCGGCTCGAGATACACTTTTTGTTATATTCCATGGAATGCTCTTAACATCCCGATAGCAATGAATATCTTAAGTGCTTCCTTTGACAACAAATCCATTAAAAAATGTCATCTGTAAAAAGCACGACCAATCATCTGAGCCGGCCCGGCTAAAGTAACTGGATGGCCTACCTGCCTGTCAGCCTTCCATCTGTGCACAAACTTATCTCGTGCCCTCATTGGTCATGTGCGCGTTCTTGTGTGTTGGAGGAGGGGCTCTGTAAGGAAGTGGCAGATTTGTTCCGGATGTGTATTTTCAAATTCTAGCGCACTCGAGCTGGTTTCTCCAAAATTACCTACCCCACCTTTAAATTCTGTTTTGATACACCCTTGTTTCCTTCGTCTTTGTACAGGAGAGTTGCACTACAGCGACCTAAAGCGCTGTTCAAGCCCCGACCAGTCAAACCACCAGGTGATGAGTCGACATTTGTCAATAAAATCAACCACACCTGAAAATAATAAAAACTTTTAACACTTTCTAATAAACATATTAAAGCTGCTTTGGCGCTAAGCTAAGAGGTGACAGGTCATGTCTGAAGATCCAGTCAAGGTCACGGCTGAACTCTGCTGCCCTCCCGTTGTACTCACTGCTTTTGTTTTCTCCACATGCTCCACAGATGTGGCGGAAGGTACTGTCTGTTCGAATTTGCTTTTGAAAACTTATCTCGAGAACAATTAACTTGATGTAATACACGTGTATATTTTGGGTTTTTAAAGATTTAAAGAGGTGGATTATCCAAAAATAATATCATGTAATGCTTCTTGGAAGTATGGCGTGGAAAGGATTCTGTTATTTGTTTCCTCCAAACTGGTTTATCTGGCCCTCTGCGTTGTGCTAGTTTTTCGCTAACAACCAATTTGTAAGAGCGAGGTAGTTATTAATATTTTCGAAATTGTAGATATCATTTCTAAATGAAACTATTATTAGAATTACCAAAGCAAAAATATTAGGACATATTGGTCAGAACATATGTTAATGCTTTAAAAGATAAATTTCAGAAGGACGCACGTGTCATGTCTTGTGGTTTGTGTTCATGGTTTTCTCTCTCTTTCCTCTTCTCTCTTCCTGTTTTTCCAGTCATGGATGACGTAGACTACGGAGCTATAACAGGGATCCACATTGGTGAGATGTTTGACTTGTTCCAAGTGAAAATGAACTAATGTGATTCAGGGCAATTGGACTTGAAGCAATAAAATAAATTGAGAAAAAACAGCAACAAAAGGAGACCAGGCTTATATTTAAATTACAAACCAGTTTATATGATGATGTAATTTTGTGGGTTTGGGGATTTAGGGTTTTAGCTGTCCCATTTATCCCATTTGTCTTGATCTCATGGATTGCGTGTGTGCATATGTTGGATGCTCATATGGGGGTGTGCACTTACGGCTGATTGTAAAAAGGTTCCAAGCGTCTGTACGAGAAAGCTAATTACAGATGTTGCGTTATATCAGTTCAAAAAGTAATGTGCATTTAATAATGTGCATTTCATTTTATCTCAGGCCAGCTTCCACCTGATGACATGGTTCAGAGTCTGTGTTTCCTCTTTGTCTGGCATGTCAAATGTTATCGATGCGGCACAACCTGACTGAATGCAGAAGAATCTGAGCAGAGAGGGCTTAACAACAAGGCAAATAGTGGGGTTTGTTTACAATAAAAGTCATGGTAATGGGGTGAAACAGGCTAACAGCTTGTCCCCGGGTTAGTTTATTTCTTAAAGATTTGGTTCTGGTCGGTCTTAGAACTGTTTTAAATGAGACGAGAAGATTGATACCGCACACATGTCTGTCTGTTGAATATTAAGCTTAAAGCTAGCAGCCAGTTAGCTTAGCATAAAGACTGTAGCCCCATAGCCATGTATTTGTGATACGGCAAAAACAAATGTATGAGAAAATTACATTTATTTTTAAACTTAATTTACTATAAAGTTTTGTTGGAGACCAGGCTGGAACAATATTTAAGTCAGTAAAATCTTTGTTTACATTTCCAATAATTTGTTGTTGAGGTCCTGTTTTCTCAAATCATATTTAAGGGATTTGATTAAAAAACTAGGGCTGTCAAACGATTAAAAATTGTAATCAGATTAATCACAGCTTAAAAATTAATTAATCATGATTAATCACCATTCGAACTATGTCCAAAATATGCCATTTATTTATGTATATTGTTGTGGGAATGGAAAGATAAATGAAAGAAGGCGGATATATCCATTTAACATACAGTATCTATGTTTATTATAACATTTTTCTGCGTGTCAAAATGAAAGACAACCCACAGACCTATCAATCATCAAACCGTGGGGTCTTAATTCATTATGTGTTGATTTCTATCAACGGGGGAGTACTTCAGGAAAGTCGACAGAGGGGGGGGGGGGGGGCGGCGGCGGCTAGTGGAGTACTTCGTGACCGTTGTGATCAGCTGTTTTAGCGCAGTTCTCCAGTGAAGGGGGGGAGTCTCCCTCCGCAGCCGGTTGGCGTAGTTTTGGCACAATTCCGTTGTACAGACCGACGTTAACAGCAGCCCTGTCTGTGCACACGGAGACCGACTCTGTCGTCCGGTGATCTAACCGCCTTCTGGAAAAGCTTCACAAGTACGTCGGTACGCAAATGCGCTTTGAGACACAAGTGACGGTACGCATTTCAGATTACGCACATAACCTGCGTACCAGTTATGTGCACCCCTGTACTACAGCAAAAGTATTCTCCGTCGGGACTTCCTGCAACAACACCACGCCGTTATCAAAGATGTTCTATTGAGAAGACGATCACTACGTGACAAAAGTTTTCAAAACCGTGGCTACTGAAATCAATCTTACTAACTGCTGTCTGTGCAATTTACTCCGCGCGAGTTGGCAGACTTTATTTTGCTTACTTAACATCATTTTTCATGGTGGGGCTAAGCCATTTCTTGGTATGGGTGTAGCCAGGGCCGGACTGGGAAAATAAGTCAGGCCGGGAATTATACACCCAGCCAGGCCACTACCAGTTTTCTTTTGTGCCATTTTTCTGGATTTATTTGTCAATATTTACAGCGTTGCTGCCCATAGTGATAGACCTAAACTTTAAATCTACTACCCTAGAATAAACATATGGACATGGGTTACTGTTTAAAATAATGTGCAAATCTATTTAGGAACCTATGTGAACATATTTTAAGTGCAGGTGGACCTCAAATCCTATAGGGGGGTCCGGGGGCATGCTCCCCCGGTAAGATTTATTTTTTAAATGTTGGACTTAAATGCATCAATCTGGTTCACTTTGAGGGGGAAATAAAGAGACAACACCCATATGAAACAGAACTGTATACATTTAAATAATCATAAAATCATAATAACATGGCCATAACCAATAACATACTATATCCAATATGAAAAAACATTGAAACTTGTTTATTTATTTGTTTTTGGTACATTTATAGTTGTGAGTGTGTCTGTGCTCCTGAACCAGCCTCTCCTGTCTCCCTCCTCTCCCCCCCGCTCCTCTTTGAGGCAGCAGCAAAGACTAGTTTTAGCTAACAAGTTTATCTTGCCCTTTTTTCACCTAGTTAAAACATTTTTTTAATTATTCATCCATATTTTACTAATCACTCCCCCTTCAAATGGAAATATGTGTTTACATAAATGGTGACCAAACCGTTTGAGACCCACAGAGAACTTAGACTAAGTTAACTATCTAAACACTCAGAGTCCTTTACCTCACCTGAGCTGTAGTTATCAGTCTCTCAGTCTGACTGGAGAGGACTCTCCTCCACCTTGTTGACAGCTCATGATATGCGTTAGCGCAGCTAGCTAGCACCAGATGCTAACAACAACAATACACGTAACCGGTGCACGCGCTTTCTCTCTCGCTCTCGCGCCACACATACATACCCTCCCGAGCTTGAATGACACACAGAGACCAATCGAGGGCATTAGTATGATCTGTATGAAAGTGGCCATGTCGGCAGGCCACATCATGGAGACAGCCAGTCACCCTCTGTGAGGCAGAGTCAGACCCACATTTGCGCAGCGTTGCGTTCACAATCCATACATAAAAAACAGAATCCTCAGGCCAGCAGGCCACTTAACAGGCCAGGCCATCGGGAAACCTCCCGGTCCTCCCGATGGCCAGTCCGGGCCTGGGTGTAGCCTACCCCAGCCATACCCTGGCGCTGCCACTGGTATGGGGCGGGCCATTCTGCACATGCGTTAAATGCGTTAAATATTTTAACGCAATTAATTCAAAAAATGTATTACCGCCCTTAACGCGATGATGTTGACAGCACTATAAAAAACACAACTTTATTTAGTCCATTTGCTTCTACTTGTATACGTAATTGAAATTAAGGTAGCCAAAGTGAAAAAGTTAAGATACTTTTGGAAACAACTTTATTGTGTGGTCAGTAAACAAAACCCTCTCTCTATTCCTCCGTACCCAAATCTCTAAAACGGGGGTACAACGGAGCTGATCCAGATTTGCGTCCGATATGACGTAATATCAGAAATGTGGGCTGGCTTTACACCCACGGCCCTATCAGAAACGTCGCTATCAGAAACAATGCTCGACTGTTTTGGACGTAATATGGTCTTTGTTTACATTAGCAAGTATCGCTAACGCTCAGAGCTAACCTGTAGGCTACTGGAGAGAGTATGTGTAAAAAAGCAGGAAATAAAAAAAGGAACTCACCTTGTGAGAGAAAAAGCATTTGAGCTCCATACTGTTTCAGAAATAATCCTTGATGTGGTTTTGAAGATGATATGGCGTTTCAACATGGCAGCTTTTTTTTAAAGCTAAGGACCCAAAATCAGCACTTCTCTAACAGGGCTGACACAGAGGGGTATGAGGCTTGGCTAGAATCTGTTTGGTATTTTGAGCAAAACACATCATACTGTAGACATGTTTTTTATATATCTGGAACACATAATGTATGCCTAAAAATAGTATGATATGAAACCTTTAAGGTCGGGTCCTAGAATAACCCGTGCAGCTTCATATTTTGCGTCACTCAGAAATACAGTATGTCCCGTTATATAAGCGAACTTCTGATAAAGCTAACGTCCGTATCAAAGTGACTTTGGACTGAGTGACCTTCTTGTATAATTATTTTACATTTTGGAAAATATGCCTATCTGCTTTCTTGACACGTTTTTTGTTTTATTTAGTTCTTATGGTAGGACTGACATATTCAGTACCACTAAAAATTGACTCAATGGTCTTGGACGCCAATCCTTCATACTGAGAGTATATGTCCACTCTATTGGACTGCAGGTTGAGGCTCATATCATATCATCTTGACATAGAGGGCTCAGGCCCAGTTCATGACATGCATCGCATGTATTGAATCTCCTGACAGTTTTATCTGACCCTTATTTCATATTTTAAAATGTGTCTTACAGCATTTCCAAAAATGTCCTACAGTTTTACAGCTGAGAGCATTTTCAGTGACACATGATGAACTTCACTGCCAGTTTTCCTTAAGATTGACAATTACAATATGCTTTCTTATAGACCTTGTTTCATGCTATAGGCTTTCTCATTTGTTGTATGATATACATTTTAGACAGTGTGTATTACACTGACATTTCTCAGTGAATTCATCAGTTTCAATCCCATGTAAACAAAAGTTTGAAATCTCTACTAATTGTGCCATGTTTCTTAGAATGAAGCCCAGAGAGGGAACGGACAGATATGCTTACAAAGAGAAATTACAGCTGACGTCAAAGCAAGCCTGGCAGCACCACTTAGCAGCAGTTAACATTATGAAAAAGAGAAGGCCTGCCAAGCCAGCCAGACCACAGTTGCATGGCAGACGCTCGCTGTCAGAGAGCCTACAAGCGTGACAGACGGAGTTGTCGTCTACTGCAGAGTTAGGGCTTTTCAGGATGGTGCTTTACAGAAGAGTTTGGGTGGCAGTGTTGTGTTAGTGTTGAACACTTGTATTGATTCACTGTACCTGCATGTGTAAATTAGTAGGGGATTCACCTCAGTAACTTTATATTAATTCCAGACATTGTCTGTACTGCTGTCACGAAGCCCCAAAAGAAAATCAATGAAAATGGTTTCAGGGCAATTTCAATGAGGCAATTTTCAGCTAGGTTTTCAATGATACGCCTGGCAGGTCTGAGATCCATATCTCTTTTTTCCAGCTGGGTTGAGAAGAAGTTTCCGACTCGGAAGACAGAGCAGTTGGGCCAGAGAAGCGGCTCGGTCCAGGAGTTGGAGCACAGGGGTACACAGCTCAGTTCGACCCCCTGCCTACAAACAGGTGACCCCCTACCACAGAGACCCCAAGGACCCACACCGTCTGGTTGTTCTGGTTGGTACGTATGAGGTTAACATACGGTTGCGCAAAGAAACAGGAATATTCCCATCTTTTGTGGAGATGTTTAAGAGCACACTGCCAACATCTCGTTAAATAGGTTACTGTGCTATAGTCTAATGCAGTGGTTCTCAAATGTGGGTACGCGGCCCCCTAGGGGTACGTTGGAGTACTGCAGGGGGTACGTGAAATTAATTGTATGTTAATGGGAAAAATAACGTAAGTAATGCATTTAAACAAACTACTAATAGTAGATTAACTACTTTATTCAAAAGTTACAGTAATTCTGGATAATAAAATGGGAAAAATAAACAGGGTGCTCTCTTTTCCTCTCCCTCTCCTGACAGCCCGTCAGTCTCGTGCAGCTCGCTGAACCTGTAAGTGACCCGACAGTAAAGAATAAATATATTTATAACTAGTTTAGCTAGTTCCAGAGTAGATAAACTAGCTATGTGTGTTGGGTCTAACTCTTACCCCTAGATTCCACCGGGTCCGTCTGCGCCGTGTTACGGCCGCGTTACAGCCGCGTTACGGCTGCGCCGCGGCGTTCACAGCGATCGCGGCCACTCTAGTCAATGGGTGCTATTCCACCAGACGTGCCGCGTTACGGCTAGAAGCATCCCAGAAGCGTCCCAGAAGCGTCTCGGCGCTGGGCTCCGCTAAAAATAAGATGCAAGTCTATTTTTGACGCGACGCGAGGTGTTCCATAGCAGGAAGTGGACCGGTCAGAGCATCCATTAAATCCCCAAAATAAACTAATTTTGCAGACCCTATCCCTCTGTAGTCTTTCAAGTAGGAGTAGAAATGCCAGCGTTCTCCTCCGGTTTACAGGCACTGTGTGTAAATTATATGTATAGAATAATTATGATGATGAATGCATTTTTTTACCACTAAAATACAGCAACACATCTTTGATTCATGTCGTTTATAACTGGACTATTACAATTATTACTAACTTTGTCTCTACAAAGTTAGGAAATATGCCCAAATCAACAAAAACTGCGAGCCGGCACACAAGACGCTCCGCTTCCGAAACGCTTCTGAAACGCACCCGGTAAGTTATGGCGCTGGAGGAGGTCAGACCAAAACCGCGGGGCAGCCGTGACGCGGCGCAGACGGACCCGGTGGAATCGCGGGGTTAGTGTATTTTGCTCCGCTCAACGGTCCGTCACAGCGGCGGAGCTGTGTTCCGGAAGAGCTGCGTGTTCTCCGTCAGCAGCAGCTGATCTGCTCTCTGATCTCTCTCTCGCGTCCGGTTAGACTTCACTCGCGTTTATGTCCAAATCTATCAGATCTAGCTAGTTCTAGTTAATTATATGACTGCCTGCTTATCAAAGGACCTAAACACTAAGCGTTGCTTGGCAACGGCGTGCGGCCGCAAAGTATAGCGCAGCATTATGCATATTTTTATGTGAGGGGTCAAAATCCCATGCTCATAAAATGCTCATATATTTTTTTCTCTTCATTCCCCACGCCCCAAAATAAATAAATATACACATTTTAGGAAGAGTAACGAAGTTTGAGCAGTGTGGGTTTTATATGAACAGAGTTACACATATTTCAAAACGCGAAGTGTAATAACTGCAGTTTGCCTCCCTGTCAGAATGACAAAGATCCTCAGTGAAGCACAAGCCCATGTTTCTCACTAAATTGTGAGTACAACTTATTAAAAACATCAGTTCAATGCAACTAATGTCGTCTTAGTGTTATTGCATGATGTTAAAATTGGTTTGCCATGAATTTGGCTTGTAAACATTTGAAATGTAGCATTTAAGTGTTTCTCAGTTACAAGGTTGTTGTTTTAATAAATCAGACACTGATGGTGCAGCGCTGTACTGTACCTCTTTATATAGGCATTTTCTCAACAAATTGTTTTAGCGCTGATCAGGGGGTACTTGGCTGAATCTTTTTTTCAAAGGGGGTACATTATTGAAAAAGTTTGAGAACCACTGGGCTAATGTAATATATTGTGTTCATAACATTTCATATTGATTTAATATTTAGAAAAAAATGGTAGTTACTGTGGCTTTATGTGCAATAGTTTTTTGTTTTATATCATCCCCAGCCTTCTTTTGTCCATATAAAAAACAACATGATCCCATTCACTAAAAGAACACTATTATTTATATTGTAGCAGTTGTTGATCAAAAGAAAAAGTAATGTCCTGATGAAGATTTATTTCCCGACTCTTGAGTGCAAGAATAATCCTTTCCCGTCATAAGCACGTAAACACTGTCAGAGAACTCAAGTCAGAATATATTTTGTTCTCTTAAGTTACCAAGTGGCCCACCCCAGACTCACTTCCCTGCCAACCTTGCCGGTCTGCTCTATGTATTTCTGAGCTATATCTCTCCCGCGGGAATTTCACATTGAGCCCCGCTGAAGGTCTTTTTAATGTTGTATTATGATACGACTGGTCGTCTGTGACCGAGGGAAATCAAAGAAAGAAGAGAAGGGCAGAAGAGGGACAGAAAATCGAAAGTGGAGGGCAGAAAGAAGCAAAACAAAGTGAATTAAAGAGGCGAAAAAACATTAACCAGATATAATAGATTAATGATAGTAAATGGAGAGAAGGGGAAGAGTGGATTGTGAATTATATTCCTCATAATGTCAGCCAAGTGCTCCATCATTAAACTGGAACAGTTAAGAGAGCTTGGATTTAGATTTAGACCTCTTTAATTGAGTTGGAGTTTACCCTAACTCTGGATTACGTTTTACTGTCTGCTGTGAAGGCTCTTTGTTGACCGGAGTTCATCATTAGCAATATATAGGTTATTGGCAATGAGATTTATGGACAGGAATACCAGAACCTGGATGGCTAAAACAGCACCAGATGGATAATGTTAGACCAGGTTGGAAATATGTCCTCTTTTGTTTGCATTGCATACGCACTTTGAATGGAACAATAGCCATAGGAAAGTTGGTGAAAGCGACTGCCAGCCGATTTAAGCTCTACAGATCGTGTAACTCTTGAAAAAAAAAAGGTCAGGAGAAAGTATCTACAGTGCCCGATGATGCTCCTCTCCAGCTCGGTGGAGCAGCTGTGGAAGACATCAGTGGTGTAAGAGTGGAGAGTCCATAAACCTGATATTTTGTATCGAGCTCATGCAACCCTGTGATGGAAAAGGCAGGTATGTCAGGAATCTTACTTTCAGACGGCGCTCCATTAGAGTCTGATGCAATCTGGGGGCTGCGAAAAGCTGCTTTAGAAAAGAAAATCCCAGATGCTACAGTATGTGTGTGTACAGTTGTGTGTATGTGCTTTATCCTGTGCATCCTACACTTTAATGACACCGATACTGTGTGGCTTTGCAGATGTCACGTTTAGACGGGATGCTATGGATTTTCCAGAGGGCTTCGGAGCAGTTAATGTTCAATAGAGAGACACCGGCGAAGAAAGAGACGGCGAACCGTTTTCAGACTGAAATCAGTATGAAATCAGAGCTCTGTCTGTCTGACTGTCTCCCGCTCCCCTTTGTCGTTCTCTGATTATAAAGACAGATGTGTCACCAGATCACTAAGCCTATTTGATGTTGTAAGGCAAACAATAGTACATAGTGATTTTGGGAATGAATACCTACATACAGAACACAGTGTTTTTATCTCCGTCTCCAGGGCCCAGCGGCGTTGGCGTTAATGAACTGAAGAGGAGGCTCCTGCTCTCAGACCCTGACCACTATGGCGTGACTGTACCGCGTAAGATAGACTTCCAGAAATGTCACCTTTACCTCCCGCGCACTAAATGGTTTCTCATCCCTAACAGCTGTCTTAAGCCTCTCGTCTCTTTTCTTTCAGACACCACACGTGAGAAGAAAAGGCAGGAGAATGAAGGGGTGGATTATAATTTTGTGTCAATATCCATGTTTGAAGAGGATATTCTCAATCAAAGGTACATGAGCAGGTGTTTCCTTTCTCATGATGTTAACAATTGTCCCCTTTCATGAGAGTGATGTTCATCTCTACTGCTGTCTGATTACATTTTATGATGTTTTCTCTGTCTGTTCACGGACTGCTTGGTTCTGTTTCTAGGTTTGTAGAATATGGAAGATACAGTGGACACTACTATGGAACAAGTGTAGATTCTGTGAACAAATTGATGGCTGAGGGCAAGGTGTGCCTTCTGTGTGTGCACCCTACTGTAAGTACTAAGCCATTTAAAAAAAATTCATGTTTACAGAAATTAATTTGGACAATTTTCAGAGGAGTAGGAATTTTTTTGCCAAATAATCCACATTTTCGATGGTAAATCACACCACAATTGTGCTGAAAAGGTTAATAGCGACAATTGCCCTTTCAGTTATAAACCTAGTCTTTCAACATCTTTCAACTTCATGTTTGAACTAATAAAATAAAGTTTCCAATAGCCCATGTGTGTTTCCCACAGGGTTTAGTTCTTGGCAATCTAGAAACCAATTGGCTAGGTGATGGCAATAAGCCTCTGGGGGCAAGGGGCTATATTATGTTGGGGTTTTGTTGTAGCATTCAGTCAAAGCTTCCTCTCTCATGTCTACAGTTAGCAACTTGAGACTCAAGAATGAAGTTGGAGTTGCGAGACTGTGTCCTGTTTACAATCTAACAAAGAGCTATTGTCAGCTGATAACCATTCGATCCAAGATTTTACAATGTTTTGCTTTAACCCTCCTGTTGTCTTCGGGTCAAATCTGACCGATTTACTACTTTCATCAATCATAACTATTTTGTTTTACATTCGATTGCATTAAGGCTTTATGATATCCTTCACAGTAGACATTTGAACATATAAAATTGCTGATCACCACTTTCGTTGAATTTTGGATGATTTAGTCAACTTTGTAACACCCATGGTGTTCCCGGTGACCGCCATAAAGAAAAGGAATTAGTAACCATCCGGATCAGATCACACACACACAAACACCCACACAAACACACACACACACACACACACACACACTCACACACACACACACACAGAACAATTTGACACATTTCCTGCTCTTATGTGCCCATCCCCCACATGGATGACACTTGGCACAGGAAATACATGTTCAGTGTCTATTCTTTGTATATTTACTGCAGTTGTTCATGTATACCAGTAGTCTGATACAATATGTACAGTTTGAAAGGGTGTTAAATGAAATTTGGTGATGATTAATGGTTTATGTGTTAATGTAATAGCAGTTAAAACAGGACCGGTTAAATTTGACCGCGAACACCAAAGTAAGGGGGGGGGGGGAAACGAACACAACAGGAGGGTTAAACACAGAAAGTTAACCTGCATTCAGAAAAAGTCTGGTAAAATGTGATGGGCATTATTATTCAGACTACTAACAAAAACAAGACCGCTTTGATACCAAAATCTTGTCTTGTTGCCCCCAGATACTGTATTCTTCATTCATACAGATCTATTAATAACTGGAAGAGGTGGGAAGCCAGCATGGGATCAAATGCTATGGGTTCTTTTGAAATAAGAAGGAACTTGTTACTTACTTCATCAGAAGAATGATATAGTGCATTTAACTAGACCTACCCAAACAGTGGGAACAGTTATGAGTGCTTTGGTACCGTTTGGTACACAATAACTGTCCATGTGTGGAAATTTGAAGGAAAGAAAGGGTGATCAAATGCGAAACATAGGGGAATTTTTTACTGTAGGTTTGTAATCTGCTACACATCATTGCCTGTTTGGCATTTATAGTCTGGAAAGTGATCCCTTAAAGATGAAATGTAACCGTATTTTTTTAATGTGTTGAAATTGTTTAGATCACCAACTACTTCTGCCTTCTTTTTGGTCTTCCTCACCATAGAAAATAAAGCAAGTGTACAATTCTGAATTCAAACCATACGTGGTGTTCGTGAAACCTCCGTGTATCGAGGAACTACACCTCACCAGACGGAGAGTGCATTTTGTCTGCGATGAAGTCGACAAGAACTCAGTCAGAGTCTTTTCGGTAAGAGAAACAAAAACAGAAACACTTATACATGTTTGAAAACGGGTGCTTGTTCCATGTCTTGTAACATGCGAGGCGGTGTGAGGTTAAACACTCTGGCCTTGATGGACCCACCCAACCTCAAAGACATGCACACACCCAAAACCCCCCTGACTCTTGCGCACACCTTGCCGTACATATGGTTGACCCCTTGGTTTGCTTTTAAGAGACGTTTAATAGATAGGTGGAGTTACAAGCCTGCTTGGTGGGTGGCTTCTTGTTCCATTACTAAGGTGAGTACAGTTTGTCCAGGAGATAAAGGGTCACATCTTGTGTTGGTTTACATGACTTGTGTCAAAGCATGAGCACATATGTGTGATGAAGCGTGTTTTGGCCAAGACAAAAAAAGATTTTCTGTCACTTTGGTAATCTACATCTGGCTTCTCCTTCACTCTTTGACCCTGGCTGCCCATGGTGCCCTTATTAAACCCATGAGGTCACACACCTGTGTTGCAACATGGCTGGAGTTTGCCCGGTGCCACCACAGTCTTCAGAGGGTTCAGGCATTTCTTATTGCGTTCAACTTGTACCACAGCTGGTGTGAAAAGGTCTCTTATCCTTTACTCCCAGCATGTAACGACGTGTTACGCCTTGGTCTGTATAGCTGAATGGTCACAGGGATCCGTTCCATGTCCTGTTAGGTTACAGCATGTGCAGATTATTGTAAAAACAACCTCTCGGAGAGCGTCACCATATGGTCAGGCTTTCGCTGTTCTGTTTCCATCAACAGTATTTCTCAGATGAACATTGAAATCATCATTAATCATCTATTGCTGTTTTTTTTCCTTCTGCACAGATTATTTTCATCTTTCACTCGATGATTAATTAAAGAACACACAAGTAAAGCTTTGGAAAGAACTGATTAGATGTAATATATAGCCAGAGGTGGGACCAAGTCATTTGTTTCCAAGTCACAATAAGTCTCTAGTCTTTGCACTCAAGTCCTTAGTCAAGACAGTAAATTCAAGTCCCAAGTCAATTCGGAAGTTCTAAACTTTGAGTATTCAAATTGTAAACATTTTTTTTGTATCCATTGTCCTTTCTTACTTCTTGTTTGGATGATGTTAGATTGTTTCAAACAAAGTATATCGTGGAAATTGAATGTCGACTTAATTGAATGAATAGTGTTCGAACATTAGTAGATCCAGGAAATAATGGGAAATCAGGTATGGATCTGTGGAACACTTTTAAAGCACTCTATCTTCGGGCTTTGAGTAGGAAACAAGTAGTTTCAAGTTAAACATTCTCAAGTCCAAATGAGACCACAAGTGTTAAAGTCGGAGTCCAAGTAACGTTTTTTGTCTTAAGTCATCAAATTGATGATTCAAGTCTGATTTTAGCCCAAACCACTGTACCTCATGTTGCTACATTTTATTTACCAAGGCGTTCTCTTACCACAGGAGGAGGATTTTGAGGACATGATTACCTTGGCTGAAACCATGGAGAAGCAGTACGGGCACTTGATTGACAACGTGATTGTTAATGGAGATATCGTGGTGGCGTTCAGAGAGCTGAAGGCGGACCTCGACAAGGTACAAAAGGCAGAAGTCCACTGGGTTCCTGCAGAGTGGAATTGCTCGTCATCACCAACGAAAGCACGCAAAAGTTGCAGTCATCTAGACAGCTGGATTTGAACTCTGAACTCACAAGAAGAAAAGAACCTCAAAAACAATGTATTAGTTCTATTTAGTTAGAATTCAATACCATGAAAATCAAAAATGTCCATTTGTAAACAAATCCTGGGATTACCACCATTACACCAAGTGTCCCTTAGTGTATCTCTAATTAGGCAAACAGAATCCATCTCTTCCTCCGTCTATTTGAGAGACAGTTTTTCTGTTGGTTTAAAAACGATGGCTCACAGGGCCGAGAAGTAGAGGAAAGAACGAAAAAATAAGGAAACTCTCCAGAACTTGTGGCTAAGTGTAATCCTTCCCTGCCAAGTTGCAAACATCAGCATGTAATTATTCTGACAGCTGCTGCACTTCAATTAACTGTAATGTACACCAGAGAAATATTATTAGTAGCAGTCGGGCAGGCATTGTGCCAACAACATGCTATACGAAATCGAGACATAAACAAGAAAGGAGTTAAATAAAGAATGACCAAGAAGTAAAACATGTTTTAATGGCTCTAAGTTTAATAATTTTGTATATATTCAAGGATTATAAATGCTTTGTGTATGTCTCACAATTATTGTACCACTGTAGAAACATGGTTAAGTGTTTGTATTTTTAAGCGCCCTACGCAAAAAATATACTCTATTATGGACCATTAACTGTAATGTATTTTTTTATACACAAAGATATCAAGAAAATAAAGAATATTGGCAGAGAGCCACCATTAGTGACACCCCATTAACAAATACTCATATTTGAGCATCACAGCTGCCTTTTGGGTGCAGATTCTACTGTTCTCCTGCACACAAGCTGCTTAATCTTGTTCTGTTTAATGGCCACATTCCTCTACATTCATGGTGTTTCCTTCCCATTTTTGAATGCTGTGCTCAATTGGGTGTGAATGAGTGTTAATGTGTCTATCATGTTGTGTTTTGGAGGAAGAGGGAGCAGCATGATATAGGGAGACGGTAATAGCTTTCTAGGGACTTGGTTCTTAGCAGACGTTCAGAGAAAAAGTTACGAGAGCACATAAAAGCTAACTGTAAAAGCATGGTGAGGCTGCAAGCTGACTAGGCTGCAGGGAACACAACATTTTGTCTCAGGTTTTTTATTTTACCCTGGCATGCTGTGTCAGAGTCCCAAATAGATGTGTGGAGATGCACTCAATAGTGTGTCTTCATGACTCCTGGTTACCAAAGCGCACATACGAGACAAAACAGTTGCACTTCTGCCAGGCCTGAATCTGACCTGTGCCAAACCATGGCAGTATAACTTCATCACACCACTGAGAATCTGCAGGCAGCCTCTGAGATCATAACCATGCCATTTAAGACACCGGAGTGATCCAATGAAAACCCACTGCCGCCTTATGTTCACTGCAGCTCCCACACACTACACAGGCGTATGATGTCAATTGGTCTCGGATAATTTGGTTCAATCATCTATCTGTCGGAGGTATGTAAAAATAAATATGACTGATGTTAAACAATATCTTCATCTTTGCATGAAATATCCATAACTTAAAACACAGTAAAGCACATGCTACACTAGAGCAGTAATTCTCAAATGGGGTTACGCGGGTATGTGAGATAAAAAAAAAGGTTAATAAAAAGAAATACCATGCATGATTAGAAAAATAATCTTAGTACAATAAGTTAAATAGAAAACACAATTGTATTGACACATTAAAGGTGGGGTAGGTAAGTTTGAGAAACCGGCACTTTTTGTTATATTCCATGGAATGCTCTTAACATCCCGATAGCAATGAATATCTGAAGTGCTTTGACAAAAAATCTATAAATAAAGTCATCTGTGGAAGCCGTAGCGCTGTAAAAAGCACGACCAATCATTTTAGCCGGCCCGGCTAAAGTAACTGGATGGCCTACCTGCCTGTCAGCCTTCCATCTGTGCACAAACTTATCTCCTGCCCTCATTGGTCATGTGCGCGTTCGTGTGTGTTGGAGGAGGGACTCTGTAAGAAAGTGGCAGATTTGTTCCGGCTGTGTATTTTCAAATTCTAGCGCACTCGAGCTGGTTTCTCCAAAATTACCTACCCCACCTTTAAAGCCAGACTATGCTACTCTCATACCCCTTGCTCAATTAAATATACTGACATGTTTTGTTGCTACAGCCTTTCTTGGTCTAGTAAGATAAGAAAGATCTATTTTAAGTAAGATAACTTAAGCTAATGTTAGCACAATGATGATACTGCTGTGGAACTAAAACCATCTCCTCAGTTCATTGGCTGTATGACACAGTGACATGCTAACATGTAGCTTACCTTTCAACTTTTAAACTACAAGTTAACATGTTTGAGTCTATGTCTTTTTTAGTTTATAGTTTTGCTAGGGATCCACCAAGTCATCTGTCCTTAGCCTCTGCATTCCTCCTTTAACAAAACACGCTAAAAAGGATTTAAGCTAAAAGCTAGCCAGTAGCTTAATACCTGCATTGGCGTCAGAAAGTAGATCAGGTAACAATTTGTCCAGATACATCTTGCAGAATGCCTAGGGCTATGTTGAATCTCAGCTAGTGTTAGCTTTACATTGATCAGTTTCAAGTCCATGCCTCATTTCACTCTATTTGCTCTTTTCCAGCCCTGTTTTTGCAAGGGCTGATTCTGCTTTTGTGGCAGACTACAGCGCCAGTTACAGACCTGGCATATGTACTACAGCGTCTCCAGCGCTTTCGTGCGGTCTCTCATTCCCCTGATAGGTGGAGAGTTGCCCATATAGACGGAGCACCCCTTTTCTGACATCAGAAAAATTCAAATAATAATCAGCTCGGTTGCAGCCCCGTTTTTAGAGATTTGGGTATGGAGGAAAAGAGAGAGGGTTGTGTTTTCTGACACTTGGTGAGTTCCCTGACACACCGGGGACACGTATTCATGTATAAAAGACATACAAAAGTGCATTTTGCATGATAGGTCCCCTTTAAGATGTCTTAAGCTGCTCTTAACCAAAGCTCGAAACAACATTGGCAGTCTCTATCAGCACAATGCATCTAGCAGATACAAGCCATTAGCAATATTTGCTTATGCTTTTGATCTGGCATATTAGTCAAAATGCACTCTTCTTTTAGGTCTGCCAACTTCTGAGGCAAATATTTGGTTCATTATTTTCTAAATAAAAAACAGCTGGTCACTTAATTTGTTAGTTTGCTGTGTGTTGCCAGGCAGATTAAAGCATAAATAGGTTTATCAGAGCTTTTAGCTAAAAACTGTTGAACTGGCTGGAATGTAGCATTTCATAATAAGCCAATCCTTCAAAATATCTGAACATACAATTATTTCTATAACACACACTTTTCTTGATGTTTGGTCTTTTGAATAGGCCTGGTTTGAAGCCTGGTCTGGAGTTTGTGAACCTGCAAGACACACACGCACACACAAGAGTGCCAAAAAAAGATATATGTCCGTTCACAGTGTATTTTACTGCTCTCTTGGCTGCTGAATGAAGGTGTGTTCCCAGCTAGTATCAACAGTTAAGCCGGTGAACACATCACAGAGGGACGGGAGTCAATGGTGTGTGATAGCATTTAGCATTCTCCAACCACTGCTGAGGAATGTGAGCGAGGAATTTACTGCACCTAACGGGGATGCTTCTGCTCCATATGTTTTTCAGCTTTGAAACTATTGAAACTCAACCTCTCCACTGATACTACTGAATTATGAACAGTGGGGACGGGAGTTAAGGAGCCCTTTAATATGTTTAACGGTTCAACAAGTGCTGCTCGGATTGTAGCCATAACCTTCAAAAGTTAAGGCAGGAGAAACGCATTTTATCACGTGTTTGCATAAATATTATCACGTTTTGCATGTGCATGGTAAAGTCATTATATATATCCAAACAGTACTATGTGCTTTGGATATTAAGAAGGAAAAAATACATAGATTACTACTAAAGTCAAACCACAGTCTTCAAATACTGAACTGCCAGCATGTTGTCATGAAGTCACGCTATTGACAACGCTAAGTTTCTGTCAGACCCATTTTGTAATTGTTTACAGTCCTTGTTGTCTCGAAATTGATGAAAATATTCCAGAAAAATAAGCATTATTGTTGGATAAGCCCTGCTTAGATGTATAATTCTGACACTCAAATGCACACGCTAACACACTTTCTGACTCCGTATGTGCAACAGTCTGAGGATTACACAGGCTTGGATTTATTTTCATTTTCCAGTGTTTGTGTTACCCACGTGATGAGCCAATTTGTAGTGAAATCCACTTCAGCTCAGCAGGATTCACTGTCTAACACGAGGCAGGGATTGGTGGTTTTTCTGGTTATTAGCAACCATGCAATTATACCCATACATTTCCAGAATCCCCTGGTATAACATGCATTAATATCTGCTGACACCATTTTTGTCCAAACCGCAAGAGATTCGTACGCCTCGTGTAGAAAATATGAGAGCATGTCGGAGCAACACCAGGCTAAATCTCACTAGTAAATCTGACAACCGCATTTGCTGATAGTCATGTGTAATATTTTTCATATCCCAGAGTGTGCAGCAGAGGCTGCTTTCTCTGCAAGGTTTTGCTTTTACAGGGCTCTCCAGAGAAGTGATTGGACGGTATGAGAGCCAATAGGCAGCACAGCAGCAGGTTATTTGAACTCTCCTCACACAGCTCAACCAAACCATCCTCTGACTTTTCAAACTTTATTCTTTCACAAGAGTCTGTCATCTGCTCAGTCCCTGCTCCTGTGGGGACAGAAATACTTTTTTTATTATCTTTACACTTTTGGGTGTATTCAGAATGAAAACCAGCTGTTTCTATCTAGAAGTCCTGAGATGCACCTGTTGATCGAGGAGAACTTTACGTGTTTGATAATGAGCAAAATTGCTGAGATGAAGTGTGACACTCTTCTTTTTGAGGACGACATTAAGGCAGAGGAGAGGAGCAGACTGAGCTGTGTGGATTTGCCTCAGAGCAGTTTACCAGACGGGCAGAGCGCAGACCTGCTGAGGTGCCAGGAGACCAACGGGGACATTTCTCCCATCAGAAGACACGGGTACGCCCTTTTTGTTTGTGTTGGAAATTGTTTTAAGCGGTTAAACAGAGGCACATATTTTGTTTACAGTTGTAATATACCTTTTTTTTTAAGTGATAGTGACGTGGCACTAAAGTGTTGTTTCTGACTTTAAATGCATAGTTCAATAGTTCTTGTCATTTATTTACTGCAGTGGTTCTCAATTGTTTTCAGCAAGGACCCATCATTTGTTTCTCTTGGAATAATTTGATGTAGCGCTTTTCTTATATTTCTTACATCAGAGAAAGAAAAATTCAGAAAGATATTGGACATGTATTGAAAATAGTTGCTCCAATAGAAAAACTCCAATGCAATTGACATACATTTAATTAGCTACAATAAACAACAAATAGGCTCCCATACACATCATGAAAGAGTAAACAGCATGTTGGCACACAGACACAAGGCTGGCTTCTAAATAATACAAAACAGTTGTTCAGAATGAAGACATACCGTAGAAAATGTCACGGATTTGTTAAAACAGAAAATGGAGCATTTGAAAGGCACTTCAGGACACAAACGTACACATACATAAGAAGTGAAGTGATAAGAAGTGTTTCCTTTTTGGTGTATACGTAGTCTAAATAAAATTGGATTTAAATTTGTATTAATACAATATCAGTCATTATACAGAAAGGGACAAATGAACTTTTTTAGTTTGAAAATATTAATATTTGAAATTGTATTTGTTGAACTACTAAGTCTTTGTAAAAATGAAAAAAATAAAAACTTCATAAATTAAATCACAGAAAAGAGAACTTTTCAAGTGCCACCTGGCAGATTGCCACACACCCATATTTAAGACTCCCAAGGACATTATTGACAGACTTTTAGCATCATGTTGTTCCATGTGTAGAGGGGATTGTAGGTGGTCTTTGTGAAACTTTGAGTCAACATGTGAATCCTCCAGGTCTCGTTTGGGTGGGGTCAAAGTTCGCCACAAGAGACAGGTGCTGCAGGACATGGCCCGGCCGCTCAAACATTGGCTGTACAAACACCGGGACAACCCTTACCCCACCAAGACGGAGAAGGTCCTGCTGGCTCTGGGCTCTCACATGACTCTAGTACAGGTGAGAGACTAGCCTGTGCCAGAAAGCAGAGGATGTGATTTGTATTCTGTGGGTTAAAAATAAGCCAGTGCTGTTATATAACACGGTGCATCTGTGCAGGTTTCCAACTGGTTCGCAAACGCCCGGCGGAGGCTGAAGAACACAGTGAGACAGCCAGACCTGAGCTGGGCCCTGAGGATCAAACTGTACAATAAATACATCCAGGGAAACGCTGAGAGACTGAGCGTGTGCAGCGATAACTCAGAATCAGACGGTAAGGGCACATTTTGTGGAGTTATTGTCATTTACAGTTTTTGGGTCTGGTTTATTATAGTTATTTTGTTTCTTATTCATGTAAAGGTCGCCTATTATGCAAAATGCACTTTTTCATGTCTTTTATTCATAAATATGGTTCCCCGGTGTGTAAGGAGACTCACAAAGTGTCAGAAAATAAAACCCTCTCTCTTTTCCTCCTCACCCACATCTCTAAAAAACGGAGCTGATCCAAATTTGTTGCATAATGTAATGATGACATTACTGAAATGTGGGCTGTCTTTACACCCACGGCCCAATCAGAAACGTTGCTATCAGAAACAATGCGCAATGTGTTTTGGAAGTAATATGGTCTTTGTTTACATTAGCAAGCATCGCTAACACTCAGAGCTAACGCTGTACTGGAGAGAATAGGTAAAAGAGCTGGATATAAAAAGGTACTCACCTTGTGGTAAACCTGCAAGAGAAAAAGGGGGCGTGGCCCTGCAGCTACTGAACCAGAATAAGCACTTTAGTAACAGGGCTGAAATAGAGGGGTATGAGGCATGGTATTTTTAGCAAAACACCGCAGGGACATGTTTTGTATAGATATGGCCCTATAATATATTGTTCAAATATAGCATAGGTGAGCTTTAAATCAGTACAACATTAAGATAAGTCTGTTTTGTTTCCTGCAGATGAACACTGTCCCTTACAAACTCCCATCGGCCAATCAGACTTTGGCATGTCCCACAAGAGTGCGCTCGAGAAGCAGGGCGGCGTCCTCGCCATGGCGGACTCTGCCAACAGTGACGACAGCGCTTCACCTCCATCCAAGTACAAGAGCAGTTTGCTGAACCGCTACCTGAACGACACCCTGAGACACATGATGGCGGGGGAGGCCAATGGCGTCGCTCCGGCCCGCAAGAGGAGGAGCCACTCCGAGTCGTTCAGCTCCAACGACTGCGATCGAGATGTTGTCTCTCCGGCGTCATCGTACGAAACGGAGGCCAACTTCGTCTACCACATGGGTGAGAGATCTCAGTGTTTGTCACTGTTCAAGAACATATTACAAGGTAAAGCAATAAGATGAGTTTTCTTACTTGAGTGGAAAATTGCACTTTAAAAATATGTGAAATATCCGCATTAAATGTTTAAAAACAAATAGACCTATATTATATATTTTATAAGGATTTGTATGTAAATAAACCCAAATCTTAGCAACAATTTAACTATAATTTAAAACCTAGAGAAATAATTTAATCTAGGTTTCATGTGTGCACCTTTTAGCATGCGGTAATGTTTGGAATGGCTTCCAAAAGCTGCCATAAAAGTACTTTTTATTCAGTTTATAGTTCCTTTTTTACAACTTAAAAAATGTGGTTGGTTTTTAACTTTGTATTTCAGCCAAACGAAAGTAGGCCTATTAGTCCTTGAACGTTTTGACCTAAGAGAAACAAGCTGTGCTAACATTAGCGGTTAGCTCACAATCTCTCAATGTTATGTATGTCTGCTGAACCGCTTTTAGAGAAACACTGATTTTACTCACCATGTTTGTTTGTTTTGGAGAAGAGAAGATCTCTGCGGATAATTCGGCTCACGATAGAAACCTCTTGAACATCTGGATCTTAAGTTTTACGAGAAACAAGCTGAGCAAACATTTGTAGCAACTCAGCTTGCAGTCCCCTCCGAGACATCCCTTGTTTGCTGAGCTGTGATGGAGAAACACTCATTATTATGTGACACCGCTTTATTCTTTACTCCTAGAATTATTGGCTCCAGGTAAACAAATCTGTCCTTTGTTATTGTTTTGAGATGCCCCTAGTGGCAGAAGATCTATTAGAATATATTGTGCCTTTAGCAAAGAATCTGCACTTAACATGTGTAAATAGAATTAGGGAATGCATGAAATATTGCATCATACATGGTAAATTGGGAGTGAAAACAGATGATAGCACACCCCCTGTCCATACAAATAATAAAAGTATCTTCCTTTTTAATTGCAGATTTATGTGGAATAAGAGTTAAAGTGACACTTTAACTGCCCTGCTTCCCCTTGGTTCATTTTTAACACACCACAGTGCACAGTAAAATAAGAGCAGACTGAACAGAAACTTCCACAAGGCTCCTCAGAGCTCCCCGACATTACATCTCTGGCATTCCACTGAAAGTCAGAAGCTCTGCGAGATTCAATTATAAAGTTTCAGCGAATATTGGAGGTAGGCTGACACCTGGGTGCCCTTTCAGACCTATAGGGAGCCCGGCACACTGACAGCCCTCAAACCCGCTAAAGGTACAGGAGCCAAAGCCTCTACAAACATTACTAATAATTACTCATGCAGACGCTGAAATCTCTCATTTTAAAATTGGACGGATCTCGAATTGGCTGCCGCTGCACTGCACACCACGAATATCATTTCCATATACTAGAATGTGCCATTTGTTCCGCTTCAACTTCTTGCCATGGTGGAAATGTCCAGTCCAGTCTAAAGGACAATTACAGAATGTCTGAGACTTTATTCTTCCCCGGGTGAGAAGTGGGGACCTCAGCCAAAACGAATCAATTTGTCAGTAAAGACATTTCATAGAGGGATTGTCAGACTCAGAGCTGCCACTCATCTGTGAGTTAACGCAGAGCGAGATCACTTATCCATTTGGCTTTTCCCTGCGCTGTTTGAGGGTGTTTGAGCTTTGCTTTTCTGACTCATGTGCGCTTAGGCAGGCGCCGTCTCCCGAGTGTTACTTTTCTACTCAATATCAATCTAAATGAACATTACATTATAGGAGTTGTGAAAAGATTTTTGAAACCATTTCTACTCCAAAGCACACCCAATCAGTTTCAATCAAATACTAACGGCATGGAAAAGTTCCTTTTTTATTATTATTTGAGAACCTTCTCCAGACAAACATTATTTCCTGGTTCTCTGTGTAAATATATTTAATGGATATTTGTATATTCTGTGACAAGGCTTAATCTGTATCCGGGAAACTCACTTTAACCTCCACTTGCCCTACATTTTAGTTACTTGAATAATAATGTATCATTTTAACAGGCCTGTGTACATTCAACTAGAAATGGTATTTATTTTTAATTAGCCACCATGTGGCCTAAACTATTAATCATATAGTATCATTTGATGTAGAATAGTTTGTAACATTTTGAAATGTAATGTTTCTAGTTTACCCTAATACTTTTAGTAAAATAGTTGGACATTTTGGAAAAGTCACTTTACTCACTGTTTTACCAAGAGTTGTTGAATTTACTAAACTACGGCAAGCAGATGGTTAGCTTAGCAAAGGAGGAGACAGCTAGCTTGTCTTTGTTCAAAGGTAACATAATCCACCTACCAGTATATTAAAACTTAGTTAACATCTCATTCCTTTTGTCAATAAATACAAAGAAAACTCAATAATTTGTTTTAAAATAATGTGTTCTATCTGTTAAAAATGTGTAAAAAGGACAAGATTAACATAAAGTTATGTGCTGGGCTAATTCTTAGCTAGGCACATACAACTATAAACATCGATTTAAATAATATAAAATAAGGTTCAACTTATAATTTGTAAACTTTAGAGGAGCTGTTATTAAAATACATAATGGACATTGCCAGGCTAGCAGTTTCCGCCTGTTTTCAGTCTTTATGCTAAGCTAACCGTCAAAGTGGTATCCTTTTTCTCATCTGGCTCAGAGCAAGAAATTATATTTACTGTATTTCCCAAAAATATGACACTCTTTCTTGTAACATGTTAATGCTAACTTGAAATCAAACATCTTTCCGAACATTTTGAGGTTTCTTGATGTCACCACATATGTGGCCAGCACTGTTGAAATGTTTGTACAAACTTTTAATGTATCCCTGCTGTTCATATAAAGGGTGTTAGCAACCCAGTACAGCTCCTCTGTGGAGGTGAAGTGGAAAGTCAGGCTGCCAGATTCATGACAGGCACTAGCCACCATTAACACGTCTCCATCCGGGAGACGGCTTAAAGGGAACGTCTAGTGATAGGCTAATAAGTGTTGCAACTACACTGTGTCTTACAAGGACACTTTAATCAATCAGTCTGAATCCCACAGGCAGTGAATGTCCAATAGTATAGTTTAATGGTGTGACTATTTACTCAGCAGGAATGTTATGGTGTTTACACAGTATCATATGGTACTCGCATCAACTTCAGTATTCCTCTTAAAAAGGCAGGAGGGCCATAAATGTGACCAGAATCATATTTTATTTCAAACATATCTGGCCTTACTGTGTTTTCCAACCTTTTTAAAAAAGAAATGCTTGCAGAGAGGGGAGTCTCTTTTTCACAAATTCATATCCACGTTGAAAAGACTTTGTATAACAATATTTTACAAGTACACCGTTATTGTCCAACATGGATCCCATTGACATTTGAAGGGTTTTAAACTGATGCTGGGGGAGAACACCCACATCATGTAGACATTCTACATTGAGAGTATTTCACATGAGACAGCATTTATGGTAAGGCATAATACCGTTATTTCCAGAAAATACAAATTTAAATATTTGAAAGTTAGATGAGAAGATTTATCCTTATTTATATAAATAAACTTTACTACCCCTTGTAAAATTGAGTTGTAACTGATCTTGGCTGTACATTTGAGACTCACCAGAGGTAAAACTAAGTTTTTTCTTTGGTAATAAATACATCAGAGGTACCAAAGTACGTTCTTGGCAAAGCACATTATGTCTAAAGAGAAAAAAGATCAGGGACGTTCAGTAGCAAAACAAGTATAAAACAGGAAGATGATTTACTATCAGCATGTAGTTGCTCTTGTGCCGCAGCCTGGCTGAAGGAATCAGAGACGGGGATGTTTCGGACTGTTAGCATTGTGACGAAGGTAACCTTGTCACTGATGGCTTCGGGCCTTGCATATGTGCACATGTTTATACAGTTTATATTATTTATTGATGGAGTGTTTATTGTATTTTATTTTGAAATGTGTTCCCCTTTCCCCATGTCTGTGGCCATTGATTGTGTGCACCTGGTGCTCTGTGGTGTCTCCTCCCCCCTCACCTGTGTCCTGTTGGGTTGATTGGGTTGGGCATTTAGACTGGGGTTTTGCTGTTTGGGAGATAGTGTGTGTGAGATCCTTGTGGCTGCAGGCTGTGGTCAGGGAGAACCAGCAGGATTGAGGCTGTGTGTCATGTGTTCCTGACTTAATAAATGCCCACACCGGGTTGCATTTTGGACGTTCTGCCTCTGCCTCCTTGCTTGGTCGGGCCGCTCAATTGTCAGCTTCACAAGCATTGACAGACTATGTTTCACAGCGGGCCCTTTAATTTCCCTGTCTATTGCTCTCTGAAGAAAAATCTCTTTTGACCAGCTGCTATCTGCTCGGATGAAAAGAGGCCATATTCCAGAACTGAAATGGAAAATAGGTTTTACATATGATGCACAGACCTCGAACTACAGGAGATTATTTAGGGCCTGGCACAACTAAAGAAATGCATTTTAAAAATAAATCTGCTGTAAAAAAAAATTAATGTTCAGTATTAACACTTGATTTATTTTCAAGATCCTAACATTTCAACTTTATTTGTATTATTTCAACTTTAATTTCAACATATTTATATAAGCCCTGCCCCCTCTCCAGCGCGTCCTGTTTGAATGACAGGAGTAAACACAGCTGACAGCGGCGGTGAAACTCGAGCGATTAGAGCGATGCGAATATTCGGGGCTTATCTCCCAACCCCATGTAAATACTATGGTAGATACCAACAAAATTAACATATTTTACCGTGATTTCATTGTAATACTCGTTTCAAAATGATGCCGAAGTAACAACATACTGATACCGTATGGTTAGTAAAAACCATGAATTAATGCTTTGACAAGTGTGCAGACAAGACGGCAGGCGAAAAACCTTTTAAAATGCGTGTTTTCTGAATGGAGATCGGATCGATCAGGCTAAACTAACCTGTAGCTGCTCCGTCCAAACTCACAACTCATGATACAGACAGAAATAAAGCAGCGACTGTATTCGCCCGGTTTGTATATGTTTAACTTTTGTCCAGTTTCTGAACAGATATGAGGAGCTGTGAGCTCTGTGTGCTAACAGCTAACGGCTGATGTTTTGGGATATGTTGATGTGGTGATGGGTTGACAGCATGTAGAGGATAACATCATATGTATATCCTTTGTTAAAATATTCCCTTAAGATTAAGTTAAGTTTTACTCGCTACAGGGTGTACTTTGAGGGTTTGTGACTCTGCAGACCGTTTACATGCATAAAAACCTTCATAACACACAAGGGCACGGGTAATAACCGGAAAAGCATGACATGGGACCTTTAAATGTAATTTAGATTAACTTCCTGTTTTATTTAGATGCTTTTATTTTTGAAGGGGAGTTTACGCTGTTGACAGGAAGTTGTTGTTGCTATGGAAACAACATGACGGAGATAAGTAATATCTTCTAATCTACATATAAAGATGGAGAAAGTAAAGAATAAAGTGTATGTTTAAATGTTAGCACGTGTTACGTTCCCTCTTGGCTAGGAGAACAAAAGGGAAACGACACGACAACATTTAACGCTTGTGCCCCCAAAGAGGCACAAGCTCTTACGTTGAGTCTGGATACATAAATCATCAGTAAAGTCTACGACCATATTTTCGTGTGTGGTTCGGGTGCCATTGAGTGGCCTTCTGTAGGCATCGTACTTGCTTCGGCTGTTGCTTGGCTGTTGACCAAGTTCGGGGCCATCTTCGTGCGAAATTCACAATTCCATATCCGTGTGGGACAGTGTGACAGGGGCAGTGTAACAGGGGCTTGAAGGAATACCCTTTCCATAAAAGTTGAAATGTTGAAGTGTTTTGTGAAATGCTGTGGTGTTTTGTGAAATGCTGTAGCGTTTTGTGAAATGCTTTGGTGTTTTTTGAAATGTCGTTGTGTTTTATGAAATGTTGAAGTGTTTTGTGAAATGCTGTAGTGTTTTGTGAAATGTTGTTTTGACTTGCACTTCAGGGCCACCGTACCTCCTGACATGATGCAGATATCAGATTTTGTTTTCTTCCCCTCTCAAAATCTTAAAACAAACAGAGCATTGCGTTTGTTTTGGCCACAGAATCTGAGCACAGGCAGACTGATGCACTTCACTGAGGCAAACCTTTTTGGCACTGGAAAACCCATCCTGAGAGTTACATACATACTCACATGCTGCAAATTAAACATTTATACCATGTGTTATATTCCCAAAAAATCTAGGGGCAAAGGAAAGTGAGAAAAAGTTAAACATACCGAGGGAAAAGAGAGAAAAGTGATTTATAAAACCAAAACATGTTGTTTATTAACGCTAAAATTCAAATGGCTCACTAGCCAATTAAAAAAACGAAAGTATGCTTTATTTAAAGGAAGAAAGTGGCAATAGGCGCTTTCACACCGGAGTACTTTTCCCAGGAATAGTTCCGATAGTTCCTGGGATTTTGCGTTCTGGAACTAGAACTTTTTTTTGCAAACCTTTTCACCCCTTTTTTTCCTGGGGAGAAAAAGGTTCCAATTTCTGATTTGCTGGGCGAATTGCAAACCACGCCCTGTAAAACTCTGAAAAAAAATTGTGAAGCCGCCATTTTCTTTGCTCGCATCAGCATTATTAGAATTAGCCCAGCGCACCAACGGAGAGAGACTAACTTATGGCAACACAAAATAAAACATGGGAGCGGTGGAGTGATGAGGAGGTGTCGGCGCTTCTGGCGATTTACTCGGAAGGCAAGCCAGTGCCCAACTCCGGGGACTTCCAGCCGGGGACTTCAGGTGGCAGTATACGCCGTGAAGTTGTTTGTGGCCTGCCAGTAAACCAGAAGAAGAAGAAGAAGAAGAAGAAGAAGAAGAAGAAGAAGAAGAAGAAGAGACGTCAGCGGCTCCCTAAGGGACTTATTCCGGTGTGAACGCGATTTACAGTACTAGATAGTTCCAGGAAATAAAGGTTCCGGGGAACTAAGTTCCGGGAACTATTCCTGGGAAAAGTACTTATTATATACATAAAGCAAAAAAGCCATCAATATCTTTGTCCATCTTTGTCCAACACATGGAGTGTAGAAAGGTTTATAATCCTATGTATATACTCAAATATAATACATTATGATAATATAAAAAAAAACGTTAGTGCCATTTTTGTGTGAACCTCTTCTTGCTGCTTGATTCCATTCAATATACAAACTTGACAATGAATTAAAAGGTCTAAGCTACTAAATCCATGCAACGCTTACACTTGGTTTTGAACAGCACTTAATGTGGCCAACCCTCCACGCAAACTCAAGTTGAATGGGGAAGGGAGAGGGTGTAGGGGTTGGTTTGGAATTGAGCCTATGTATCACTAACATACAGGCCTAATCCCAACATTGATTATCCTGTTTGCAATTTCACTGCTATCAAGTTAACAGATTCATGGGATATTTAGGTGAACTATTTTCTTCTCTTTTACAGACACAATGGACTATACGTCAACTAAATGTGACAGGTAAGTGAAATTATTCCTCGCTCAATCTGCAATCCAATCAGCTCTTTGCCCTCTTCAACTTTCATGAGCTTGAAAAGTAATATCTTACATAATCCCTCTTGGAAGTTTTTCTTGAATCTGAACCGCAACCTCTTCATTCACCCATATCATTTTGGCTCTGTATGAAAAGGCAAATGCACCATTTCTGCTTTGTATCAATGTTTTGTTTTGTTTTACTTGCAGGGAGCAGCAGCAGGGCCGAGGTCAGCATAGTCGAGGTGATCAGGACTGGAGGGAGATTCACGCCGCCGTGGCTCTTACCAACCTGGCCCAGGGGCAGAGCAGCTTGACAGGGCCCAAAGCTGGTACAGAGCAGAGCAGCACACGAGGTCCCACCTTGGTTACCAGTATCCTGGACAGGATACGTGTCACAGGACCCAACGCGGCTCTGAGGCAGAGCTGCACCACGGGGCCCACTCTCACCAGCCGCATCATCCAGAAGTCCTCCCATATCTCTGAAGTCCAGACTGTTAATGTGGCCCTGGCAAACAGCATGTAGGCATTTCATGAAAGCATCTGGTCAATTGTTCCATAGAGGAATACCAGATGCTTAAGTGCTGAGCAATATCTGTACAGCCTCTGTTCTTTTGTAAAGCTGATAAACTTTGACATTTTCAATCATTTCTACATTGTAAAAGGGAAAAACTGACCTAATGCAGTTGAGTATTTTCTACTTTTTTGCCATGTTTCTAATGACTTCCTATTGCCGTCTGTTGCAGTAAGTTATATTAACTTTTTAATCATTTGTTATTATTTACATTGCTTCTGTGTTTCCGTTCTGTGTGATGGGGGTGAGTGTGTGACTATAACACGAAATGCCGTGAGACTGGGTTGGATAGTCACATTTGTTGAGATACAAGTCAGTAAATCAGCTTTTTTAGCCAACAGCTTAAAGGTGGGGTAGGTCATTTTGGAGAAACCAGCTCGAGTGCGCTAGAATTTGAAAATACACAGCCGGAAAAAATCTGCCACTTCCTTACAGAGCCCCTCCTCCAACACACACGAACGCGCACATGACCAATGAGGGCACGAGATAAGTTTGTGCACAGATGGAAGGCTGACAGGCAGGTAGGCCATCCAGTTATTTTAGCCGGGCCGGCTAAAATGATTGGTCGTGCTTTTTACAGCGCTACGGCTTCCAGATAAAATGTTTGGTATTTATTGTCAAAGCATTTAATATATTCATTGCTATCGGGATGTTAAGAGCATTCCATGGAATATAACAAAAAGTGTTTCTGAAATAAATTACATACCCCACCTTTAACTGTTTTGGTTCAATGTACCGCTCTCATTGTTTACATTTTGAAAAGAGCTCTACAGACCGATAGGCTAACTGTTTTAGCACCAAACAACAAACACCTAATTAGAAACTAGCGAGAAAAATGTGGAACATTTAGAAGTTTATGAGTGTTCCGTTAGCATAATAGCAATCTCAGAACTCATCTGCTGCAGCCCTAAAGATGATAGGCTGCTGGGGCTATATTTGTGAGGTTCTTGTAACAGCTCATTCTTTACAGTTAGCAACTTGATATGCAAGAATTACATTGTGAATTGAGAGACGACGACTACGACCGGATTTTTTTACAAGCTAACTCAAAGCTAGCTTGTAACTAGCTAAATCACTTTTTGCTGTCGACATGGACAGTTTGCCTGCATTCAACCAAAGACTGGTCAAACCGAATTGGTCAAAACTCCAGCCAAAGCAACCTGCTTCCAACATCAACATCTTGTGAAGTTGAAGTTGCCAACGATTCTGGAATTGAAGCAACATTTGTCATATAGATTCGCTAAGCAACAACAAAGCTAAAAGTACATTGGTCAGGTCACCATAAATGTGAAGCCAAATAAATGCTAACGTTACATGTTACAAGCTAACTGCTTATCACAGCAACTTAAAAGCTCCAGTGGCGAGGAATAAAGGGGCTTCAACGGAATACCCTTCGACTCCTTTCTACCTTTACAAGCATGTTGAAAAAATGAATTTTTTTTGTTTAAGTGATTATAAATATGAATATGAATACTATATTTTATTTATGTTAATAAACCTGCCTAACACACACTGGTCCTTTAAATGTGATGTTAGTAGTATGTTTATATAGCTCATATTTGCTGTGGCCTTAAAGGTACGACTATGCACAACCCAGTCTCATGGCATTTCGTGTTCACCAACACGATTTTTAATCTATTGATTCGTGTTGCACAGCACGATTTTAAAAGCAATGTATTTCTACTGGTAATGTGTTTCGTGCCTGCAGCACGTCTTTTTCTCCGGTCGGGTCGTGGAAGACCGGAAGCTATTGCTTTTATTTTAAATCGTATAATTTCGGACTTTTGTTGCCGTCTGTGAGGAAAATAAATGGGGCTCAGAGCCTCAGAATACTGAAATCTGTATTTTTTAAATCTTTTTTTCCTTCTAATTTGTTATTCTTTTCAAAATAACACACTGTTATTTACTCACCAATAACACACAATTATCCTTGCTTTTATTTATTGGTTTAATTCCATAATCTCTGGCTTTTTTGACGTCCGTCAGGAACTGAATTTCAAAATAAGAATAACCGGAAACAGAAGTAGGCATTTCGAGCGATTACCCAAGATCCTCAGCTATGGTTTAAGCTCGCTGATTGGATGTTTTAGCCGCAATGCATGCTGGGATTTGGTGTTTATATGATATGAAATCCGGAAAACATTTTAAAAGAATAAAAGAATACTTAATTCTGAGTGCTCTTGCTTTTCTCTTTGAAAGTCATCACATAACGGCATTGTAATACACGGTTCGGCTGCATTACATATTACAGATCTGCCGTAGTTCTTTATTTATAGAGCCCTGATGAGAAGACCTTTGGAAAAACTGGAAGAAATGCCGCCGAAACTGAATACTTGATGTGGATCATAAATATATCAACAATTAAACAACATCTTCAATTTATCTTCACACAATACGTCTCCTTGCAGTATCAACACTAATTCGGCTGACTTTTACATTTGATTTAATTCATAGATAGGTTATATTTACACCATAATGGTGCACAGCTGATATAAAAGGAGTTTTTAAAGGTATTACTGATTTTCTTTGAATATAAGAATGTAAATACTGAGTCTGAAATAATATAGCAATATGCTGTAAAATTATGTGAAAGCATGAATAAAACTACACATCTTCAGATGTTGTACATACATAAGTGTCCTACACTAATAATACAACGTTATTATGGCTGTGTGTACCTTGTGTGCACCGCCTAGTGGTTAAAGCACGTTATTGAATTATTGTTTTTATGTGTTATATTTGATTAAAAAAATATTAAGAGTACATACTTTCACAGGGGGAAAGTAGAAGGTCTGTGATAGAAATATAGAATATAAAAAATCAAGAAGATACTGTAAGTGATCTCTACAATAAAACAGTTTAGTGCAGGATGTACAAAGATATTAATAGGAGGAGGTGCAAAACAGAAAAACGAATTAACCTTTGTTTAAACATTAAATAATACTTTAGATTAAGGTCTTCTTTTAAATAAGAAAACAACTTTGGGGGTATCTATCTACAGATAAATATTAAGCCTGACAAAGTACTTAACGTCTAATATATTGCTGTTACAGCCGCTGTTACCTTGTGCCCTTAACTCTGTTTGTGTGTGGGTATGTAAATGAGCTGTGCAGTTCCTCTGCTGCGTCCTGACCTTGCAACATCCGCGGTGATTCGACGGACGTCACCCAATTCCCGCCCGCTTCTGCCACGTCATCCGGGGGAGGAGTATAAAGCCCGGGCACGTACACCAATTCGGGAGGCTCTGTATTGTGTGACAGATGCCTCAACCCTCTCATTGTGACAAGGCCATTTTCTGTGATTCCTTAGACTGCCTAGCAGTGTGTATTCTGTGCTTCTTTAGACTGCCTAGTAGTGTGTTCAGTAGGGTTCTGTGCGAGCACACTGATTAGCAGTGTGTCGTAGTATTCGGTGTCTAGTATAGGGTTTGTGTGTGTGTATTGCGTAGATCCAGGTTGCTTAGCTCCTGTAGAACCGCATTTAGGATATTGACATTGTGAAACAGCTTAGACCCAGGTTAGCTTAGCGCCTGTGGATCAGCATTTGTGAAAGTATTGCTTAGACCCCGGTGATTAGCACCAGTTGATCAGCAACAGCTGTGTTCCCACACAGCCTCCTTTTGTTTAGTGTTTCGTTCCACTTTCGAAGTGAGGTAGGCCTACTTTCTTTTTTTTGTAGCATACTGTGCAACTCTCTTTTGGAGTCTTCTTTTGTTAAACCGTAACAGTTTGGTCCGTTGTTGGTCCAGGCTGTTCGTGTGTATATTATTGTGTTCATTGTTTTGGGTTACAAATAAACCACCGGTAACATATACCAAATCCAATCTGGTCATGTCGTGTCCCTTTGGTTCCCCTAGCCCAATAGGGAACGTAACAATTGCTTTCCTGCAATGTTAACTATGTTGAAGCACTTATTTTAACTGATATTATACATATGTATTATACTCTTATGTATGTAGATAGTATAAGAAATGTGCAGAATATGACAGTTCAATGGTGGAGGTATATACACACATATTGATAGATGTCAAATAAACCACCGGTAACATATACCAAATCCAATCTGGTCGTGTCGTGTCCAGAGTTGGGTGTAACTCGTTACAAAGTAACGCGTTACTGTAATATAATATTACTTTTGTCGGTAACGGAGTAGTGTAACGCGTTACTTTTATAATTCAGTAATCACACTACAGTTACTAACATAGCCCCGACACGCGTTACTTCGTTACTTTTATAAAATAATCACACTCACTGACAGACAAGAGGGGTTTCCGCCGCAGGTTTATATACATGTAGGCCTATGTTATCTGCGCGACTTGCGAGACCACATCTCCACGTGCAGTGCTGCATAAACATGGCTGAGTCTTTTCATCTGTAAACTCCCTCACGGGGCCGCTCGCTCTCTTTTGTCGATCGCCCTCCCACGTGTGAACAGTTCAATGTCCCGCTTCATTGTAGGAATTCTGCCATGTCTCTACCACTTTAGTTTGACCATCTCTGTTACTAAGTTATGGAATACTAAATAAATAAGTAATTAGATACCTTACCGTTACTGCGCTCATAAAGAATGATAATGCGTCTTGAACTGGTTTCATTAATTAGTGTCTTGACGTTTCACAGACTGTTAGCTTGTTGTGGTAGGCTGGTAGCCTATTTTAGAGCATATAAAAAGAAAGACTTGTGTTATGTCTTCCTTAATGCAATAGTAATTGGGGGTGCAAGTGGAGTCTCGCAGAGGCAAAACTGTGGCGCGCTCACACTGTAGGTGCGCCGCAGTCTGTGTGATCTGCCTGTAGGGAGGGGCGGGCCGGCCCTGCGAGTAAAGTAACGAGTAAAGTAACGAGTAAAGTAACGAGTTACTTTATGTAGAGAGTAACGAAGTAGTGTAATATATTACTTTTTTAAAAAGTAATATGTAATATGTAATATATTACTTTTTTTTAGTAACGACCCCATCTCTGGTCGTGTCCCTTTGGTCCCCCTAGCCCAATAGGGAACGTAACACGTGGGGGCTCGTCCGGGATATTTAAATCAATTCCTGGGGTTATAGGTGGTTTTATTGTGGCTGAAAACTTTGTGAAACGTGTGGGCGGTACACTCAGGTATGGCATCGTTCGACATAGAGGCGTTCTTGGTCTGGCCGTGCTATGAGCAGCTGGACCGGTGTAAAAAGGACGATTTAATGGAGATAGCACGGCACTTCAGTCTTGTGGTGAATCGGCAAATGTTAAAGAAGGAGTTGAAGGCATTGGTGGTGGATGAGATGGTGCGAAGAGAGGTACTTGTACCGGCTGTACCAACTGAGCTCCCAGTGTCCGATGTTCCCACTGAGGGCCTATTGCGTCCGGGGACTGAGGCAGAGTTTACGTGTACTGAAGGAAGGGGTAGTGACAGCGAGGGGGGCGAGCTGTGTGAGGCACCGCTCACGCCGCCTCGCAGATGTC